AAAAAACTGGAATGAACGTTAAAAACTTAAATTTAAAGATAAGCCAGCAGGGAACATGATCAACAACAAAGTTTGGGTCATATCTTGCTCTTGTCTCAGCTTGTCTCAGCTTGTACATATAACTTTGCGAAGCTAACCGCAGAACAAACGTGCAGTGCATTGATAAACCTCTACTTCAGTTTCAAATGTTGTTCAGCTCTTTGATAGGAACTAAGTTTGAGATCAGTACTTGTTCCGAACAAATAAACGTAATCTTTCAGCATCAAGACATTTGTCCATTTTTATACATTCTGGCTACTCGTTTCTTTTTTTCGTTTTTTCCCCCATCGTTATAAAGATAAAGGATGCTTTCCACAAACGTCACGATATTCTTAAACAGCCTCTTGCTAATTTGCATTTTGCGCTTATCAAAGAGACACGTATAATCCAAAAATAGCTCTAGTACTATTATACAACTTGACAGTTATAATGCGCAAACACACCAACTTTTCAATTGAAATATAAAGGAACAATAGAACTCAGACAAACCGGTAACTTTTTGCATAATAACTATTCCGTATTGGTAGCCATACTCATAACAGTTTAGTCTACTTTACTTTCTCATTAAGCATATTGGACCACCTTTTCAAAACAAGTTTATTTATTAATGGCCTAAACCAAAACATTTCACTTTCGCTCCAGATTTACTCGCTCAGCGAAACAGTGTCGTTCTTTTAGCTTTAATATCTTCATCACGATCTCATGGGCCGTCGGAATTGAGGCTCGCAACCAGTGAGGAAGCGACAGTCTCCAACCTTTCCTGTATGTATAGGTAACATACAAAAACATGAAATGACCCGGAAAATTACTTAGTGAAAATCGTGAATATCACTCATTCCTCTTAACCGATTAATGTCGCTGGATACTGTTAACGTGGAAGGAAGAAGGGTTACTTAATTCATTAGTAGAGAGGCTTTTTTGCATCATGATCATATAATGAAGTATTTATAAAAAAAATTATTGGATGAGGATTTTGTGATAACCAGAATAATCAAGGTCGAGGCAAGGTAAATTTAGTTAGAATCTCTATAATTCCTTTGTAAGATTGGGAGTAGAACAAACAACGCTCATCAAATAATAAAATGAAAATTTAAGAAATCACTCTTTATGCCTCTCCAACTTCTTAAGACCGTAATCTTGGTGTAATCTTGGAGTGAAATTTGCTTGCTGATAGTATGTTCTCCAACAATATATATTTTACCGCTTTTATTTGACTACTTGATTTATCTCTTTATCTATTCCGTATAAATTTATATTCATCGATTCATTTTTTGTCGCAACCATGTCGATCCTAGGTCTCATAAAATATTATTTGTATGTATGAAATGTCTGAATACTATGTAGTCGCTCCGTTCACATTGAGAAGCTCTATCATATTTATATTTTTTTGATAGAATATTGCAAAAAAAAATTTTTCCGTGTTGTTATCTGTTATATTGCATTTTGTCCATTACTACTCTTTAAATTTGCTTTTCATGTGCTGCACCGGGATAAGTTTAAACTTCCGGCGGGTCCATGATATATATCGATCTTTTATCAATATATACGTCAGATCTTTTAACAATTATTGTTTACATAAATTATACACATGCATATAGATAAGTTGCCTGACCGAAAACACAAAACCACAAGGTCCAGTGTTGTTGTTATTTTGCAATCAGGATTTCGGAATTTATTTCGTCTCCTAAATAGAGTTTTATTCAATATTGAAAATGTACTTCCGTTATATTTTTACACGAGCTATACGAGCATTGGAAGCCGAAGAGGTCATGGCTAATGTCGAAAAATATCTCGCAAAATAAAAACTGTTTTGTCTTCTAACATGATTTGTATTCATCTATTCATTTTCTATTTATTTCTTTGCCAAAGTATGATAAAAAATTACAAGGAAGCATAATGAGCTAGGTTAAATAAAATCTATGGAGAGGAAACCTAAATGAAATCATGAAGCTTTCTCCAAACGATTACAGAAGAATAGGAATAAAAGGCATTATGAGAGATATTAGATTTTACAGAAATATTGAGGTCACGCAAGAGAAAACAATCGGACATTATTCTCCCTAGGGTCATGTTATATTGTTAACATTTAACGGCTCTTTTTTCTCCCTTTGCACACAAGCTTTCGCCAGCCACGAATTGATATCACAGAGTTCATTATAAGAGGAAATTCAGCCAATCATCTTTGACAGCATTTGACACTCTCTCCACCGCAACATGACAAAGATGGCTCTGGGTCTTAAGAAGAAATTTGTTGCTCTTGTTACATGCATCCTGTTAACACTACCAGGTGGTAAGTCGATACAGACTCAGTACTATGAACTTAAATGTAATTCTTTGTTGGAAGGTAGGCGCAACTAAAGATATGTCAGATATAAAATTTTTCATGTGGTTAAAATGTCGAATCTGTATCAGCAGGATTTGCCAATACATCATCACAATCTGCAAGTGACATGTTATCAACGAATCTTATGACGTCATCCACATCTGCAGGAAACATTTCATCAATGAACCTTATGACGCCATCCCCATCTGCAAGTGACATTTCATCGATGAATCCTATGACGCCATCCCCATCTGTAAGTGACATGTCATCAATGAATCCTATGTCGCCATCCCCATCAGCAAGAGACATGTCATCAATGAATCCTATAACGCCATCCCCATCTGCAAGTGACATGTCATCGATGAATCCTTTGTCGCCATCCCCATCTGCAAGTGACATGTCATCAATGAATCCTATGAAGCCATCCCCATCTGCAAGTGGCATGTCATCAATGACACATATGATGCCATCACAATCTGCAAGTGATATGTCATCAATGATGCATATGACGCCATCCCCAATTGCAAGTGACGTGTTATCAACGATACAAATGATGCCATCACATACTGCAAGTGACATGACATCAGTGGTGCATACGATGCCATCCCCATCGGTAAGTGACATTTCATCAATGATGCATATGATGCCATCCCCATCTGCAAGTGACATGTCATCAATGGTGCAAACGATGCCATCCTCGCCTGCAAGTGACATGTCATCAATGATGCGTGTGATGCCATCACCATCTGCAAGTGACATTTCATCAATGATGCATATGATGCCATCCCCATCTGCAAGTGACATGTCATCAATGGTGCATATGATGCCATCCCCATCTGCAAGTGACATGTCATCAATGATGCATATGATGCCATCACCATCTGCTAGCGAAATGGCTCTAACGGTGACTAGCATTATTCCAACGGTAGCACCTACGTGTCCTTCAGGATTTACAGGAAATGATTGCTCCAAAGGTAAGTGTTGAATGCATTTAGATTTTGTTTTTCATACGATACCAGCACCTGTAACATTGCTAAATGTTGCTATTGTTTTTCTTTTTGCTGTCATAGATATTGATGACTGTGAATACGAAAACTGTTCAGGAAATGGAGACTGCCTTGACAGAATAAATGGTTTTATATGTGAATGTAAAAACAATTACTTCGGAAAAAACTGTGAGAAAAGTAAGTTTCGTTAGATGTTCATAACAAAACTTTTAACTTACAAACCATTTCTACTTTTGCGAAAAAGCAAAGAAATATCTGATAGAATTTGAGTGAGGACAATTTAAGGCAAATAAATTTTCTCTGTATTTGTCACTTTTTAAAATTTAAAATTTTTTTTATATTCAGCTCACATTTCTTTCATTTTGAAGTGTCTACTTAGTGTAGCCGCATTGAAGGATATTGATGATTTTAGACTTGAAGGCGATTGTCAATAAGCGACCTTACGTCTACTTCTTTGAAAATTTAGCGAAAGCTTAGCAATTATGGCCACTGATTTGATTTGAAACGAGAAAATGTATTTGGTTATACCAATGAAGATAACACATGTCTAACACATATACCTAAACATTATATCTTAATCCCGTCTGAATTATTCGCGTCTTTACCCTTAGAACTCAGTGCCTGTAATCCAAACCCATGCGAAAACGATGGAACTTGCAGAGAAGTTGGTGAAACGTTCAAATGTACATGTACTTCAGCGTTTGAAGGGACAACCTGCCAATCAGGTACGGGTCTGTCTGACACTTTCCGTTCCAGTAATATATCGTTCCATCGAAGTACTGCTAAACAGGGAATAATACATGTGCGCGCGCAGTAGTTAGTAAAAGCGGGTTCTGACGTTTTCTTTAAGTTAACCGTGATTTAAAGGCAAATCACGAATCTTAGCTTGAAATTAAGGTTGATAAAAAAAAAAGCTGTTGCACATTTTGAAATCAATCATTTTGCTTTCAAAGGTTACTTGCATTTTTTCACAGGTGAGTTTTGAAGAGGGTGTGAATATTATCATATTGAATGATTCTCTTGTCACGCCATCAGCATCGCTGAAATAGCGTTGATTGTTGGTGTGAAGATTTTCATATATCAATGTTGTATCTTCTCGCAAGGAAGTCTTGATGTGCCTTGATTGTTTTTTCTGTCAAAATTGTGTATTTGTATATGAGGAGAGTATGACAGTCTGATTTCAGTCATTTCTGAAAACGATCTCCAGCTACTTTTGTGTAACTCCTCTACACGAATTCTGCCTCTGTTGTAGGGGTTGCAGAAAAGTTGATAAGTTTTTCATTATTGAACCAGAAAGAAGAAGCATGGACGCTTGAATCGTTGTCAGTCTCTTTCACCCAATGACAGCTGATAATTTTCCATCTCCCCGGAGCTGTTGGGTATGTTTTTGGACAAAAGTCCATTTTTTTTAAACATACCTTACTCCTCCTTCAAAATCAGTATGATAAATCCAAAAATGTTCTCTTTTTTGTCTCTCTGTTTTTGCTCCACCAATTGTTTAATACTCTGACTCTCTTGACAGAGAAGTCCACCAGATTCTATTTCCAATCAAAGGATATTTCAAATTGTTTTTTGCTCGTTTCAAGGATCATCTGTTTTGATTCAAGATAGCAAAATAGAGACGATGCGGAAAAGAAGAGGACAATTTGATAGGGAGATCGAAGACTGTCTTTAGAGAAAGAGAAAAAGTGTCTTTCACTGTTTTTCGAAGTGGATATTCTAGGTCTCCGTGAAATTTTCCGTTTTGTGTTGCATGATTGTACAATTCTGATTGATCGACAGCAGTGGCACAAAGTTTATTTTGATAAGTACTTCGCCGTGTGAGTTTTTGTCTGTATGATACCAGCATGATTGCTTTTTCTTTGATGAATGTCTCCATGAGAAACTTCTTTTTGTATATTTTGACAAAAAAGAGAATAAATCAATTGTTTCCGTTTTTCATCAACCTACTTCTTGTTTGCTGCGTCTTCATTGTCAACTGGATTGGCAAGATTGACGATCTTTTTGTTGTTCATATCTTTATCAGTCTTTTAAATTGATTCATCAGGATTGCTTGGGTCTATTGAGAAACTCATTTTAATAGTTTTTTTCAAATCAACGAATTCCTTCAGAGGAACACTCAGTTCCAAAGGAACAATCTGAAACTCTGAAGCTCTTCTCCAACGGAACCACGCTTTCATAAAGACTGTCGTTTGCATTGCTATGCACAGTATTGTACCCGTTCCCCAACTACGTGATACGTTGATAACTGATAAATTTGAATGAATGAATACAGGACTTGAGAAGGAAAACAGCGAAGAATTTGATCCGCGAATTCCTTCAGAGGAAAACTCCGTTCCAAAGGAACAATCTGAAGCTCTTCTCCAACGGAACCACACTTTGGTTCATCCTTCAGATAGAACAGGCTCATTCTTATTCACAATTGATCTCTCGATATCGCAGACCTTCAGCGACCAGATTGGATCTGACGCTCTCCGTTTGTTTCTAATTCACTTTAATGACATCCACATGCCACTCCGTTACTCTAAAATTATCACCTTCGCAGATGATAAGGTTATTTTCACATCCTCGAAAAATTTGGATGCTATCCAACACAACCTTTCGCTCGTTGGTTTCGAGATAACGAACTTATCACCAATCTCAAGAAAGGTAAAACTGATATGGTGCTGTTTTGAAAACCAAAAATACTAAACGGATTCGATGGTAAGAGCTATCTATGCGCTGGGGGGCTACCCTGTAAAAATATTCAGTATTATTATTATATTATCATCGTCATAATTATTATTGTCAATATCATTATTATTATTGTTATCATCGTCATCATTACTATTATTACAAATCGCCGATCATTCCAGCTTAATCACTGTCCGAATGTCGTCGATAAATCGTCGATTTTCTCGATAATCGGCGACTGTCGTTTGCATTGCTGTGTACAGTATTGTACCTTGTTGAATGAAAGCAGGCTGAATGAATACAGCACTTGAAAAGGAAAACAGCAAATAATTTGATCCGTGTTCTTGCAAGCTTTCTTATCCCTTCTTGGACCTCGTACTCTGTTCTTGCATGCTCCCTGTGGATGTTGTCGTCCTCAGTTCAAATCGAGGCGTTTGACTTGTATCTGAGTCTAATATGTCGTTTTCGCTGTTTCTTCTCTGTTTTTTTTCAATCGTTTCAATATGTTGATATATTATTGTTGATCTTTTTTATACAGAGACGCCTACCCAAACATTTACCGGTACAGTGAAACTGGATCAAGATTATAAAGAGGACTATGATGACATCAACTCACCAAGATCTCGTGTCCTCATTACAGTTTTGGACTCGAAATTAAAACCATTTTTCAAAAAGAAATTTCCAGATTTCATAGTTATTAATTATAAGCGTTTTTTCAAAGGAAGTGTTGGCGTTGACTATGAATTGCTATTTCCAACAACCTCAACTGTGACTAATGGCAACATCGTGCAAGCTCTTAGAGAAGGTAATGGCTCGAGCGAACTGGGATTTTTGAGGCTGACGGGAGATATAACCGTAACGAAGCAGGTTGTTCAGACGACAGCAGCACCAACTGCAACCAAAGGTAACTTACAGTGTCTTTTTATTTTTTATGTTGCATGTATGTTGTTACCCTTAAACGAAGTTCAGGGTGACATGCGTAAAAGTATCCACTACCTTATCCGTTTAACTACACTAATTCGACATGAAGATTATCACATTTCCGGCTAGAACCTCTCTTTAGGACATGTACACTTTTAAGGAACATTTCCACTCAAGGAATATATTTCCACTCAAAACGCTTTCCCAACTATTTTGTGTTTTCCAAAATAGCATTTCCCGTGAAAAATGGACCTTTTAGGCATTTTTTTCATGTCGATTCCGTAAAATATCGTGCTTTTTTCCAGACACTGTAAAATGTTGGCTTCAAAGCAGCACTATTTAGGCAAAAAACAGGGAAATTTCTCCTATGTAATAGAAGCAAAATGCTTCACTTTTCACGGATTAAGAAAATGTGTTGCCTCAAAAGAGCAACATTTTGTATAATTCAACGGAAAGTTGAACGTAGGTGCATTTTACTCATACAAATATTCAACTTTTAACTGCGTTGGTTGTTAATGTTCTGCTCGTTTAAATGGAACGATAAAGTCTTTGATTTTAACCCTTAAAATGTTTAAGCGGCTTTTCTTTTCAATTTTATTTGACATGGTATTACGAACTGTAATGCAAAAATTCTGCAAGGTTTGACGTCCAATGCTGCAGAAATTCTCCACGGTATGGCGTCCAATGTTGCAGAAATTCTCCATGGTTTGACGTCCAATGCTGCAGAAATTCACCATGGTATGGCATCTAATGGTGCAGAAATTCTCCATAGTATGGCGTCTAATGCTGCAGAAATTCTGTAAGGTACGACGTCAAATGCTGAAGAAATTCTGCAAGGTTTGACGGCCGAAGCGTGCAAAAATTCTGCACGCCTTGACGTCCAGTGCTGCAGAAATTCTGCATGGTATGGCGTCCATGATGCAGAAATTCTGCGAGGTTTGACGTCCGATGCTGCAGAAATTCTGCACGCCTTGACGTCCAATGCTGCAGAAATTCTGCACGCCTTGACCTCCACTGCTGTAGAAATTCTGCACGCTTTGACCTCAAGTGCTGCATAAATTCTGCACGCCTTGACGTCCCGTACTGCAAAAATTCTGCACGCCTTGACGTCCAATGCTGTAGAAAGTCTTGGCATAAAGAGCTCATTTGTTGCAGAATAAGATGATCCGTTCATTTTTAAACAAATTTAAAATTAGACGACCTAGGAATGAGGACACTTTAAGCTGAATTTACATCACCATCACTAAGTGACGATATCGTCAATAGCTCGTATAAGATAAGTTACCCGTTCAGTAATTTTCATTTCAACTGACGATACAAGACTTAAAAATTTTTGACTCCTCTTCCTTCTTTCAACAAGATGATGCAGCACTGTTGCTCTAGTAGCATCCAAGAAAATTACTCCTTCACTGTCTTGGTGTCATTTGCCTTGAAACAGATTAGTGTACAATTACAGGGGTTTATAAGGCCTCCTTCCGTATGTATGGATCTGAAAAGTTAAAAGAAGAGAAGTTACATCATATGAACATTTTCAAAACAGGATGTATGAATTCATCAACACTATCTTGACTATGATTTGAACAGGTCCTGGTGTAACAAGGCCAGCTTGGCTTTTGCGAAGATAATGTTTTACTGAAGTTTACTGAAGAACTCTCAGGAGGTGATTCTCCTGAGGGTCCAGAAAAAAAGAATGTGCAAAGATTCGGCGCCGATGATTTTTGGTGAAATGGTCAATTCTTGTTCCTCTTCAGTAAAGATACGCAGCTCCTGATTGTATCATTCTACTGCACCATACTTCCAATGCTCCTATTCCCCTTATCTTTCGGAGGCATCTGGCGCACGAAGAATTTAACGGACGCGAATCAGATGTGAGTTAGTTCAAGGGCTATCTTTTTTCAAAGCTGACACACCTATGAATCACCGAACTCGTGTCTTCTCAATATTTCCTCTCTTGTGATAAAATTTAGGGAGAAGAGCGGCGAAGAGAAAAAAGTCGCAAACAACTACTTTTCCGTCTGAGGTTGTCACACCTTCAAATCAATTAAGAATTTGACATTTTCCCATGAGTACTAATCTAATCAACTTAGAAGCTTCCTTGATTATTTCTCCTGCTCGTTAACTGTTCGAAATGCCTTGCAACTATAAGACCTTGTCAACACTATACCTTTTAAATCCGAAATTTGAGTTTTTTTCTTTACCGTACTGAGGAAACCGATATATTTTTCTTCCTTCTGGCGGGCTGTGACTAAACTGTAACTGGGACGTGGGACTCGGGGACGTGAGACTCGGGGACGTGAGACTCGGGGACGTGAGACTCGGGGACGTGAGACTCGGGAACGTGGGACTCGGGGACTTGAGAATCTGAGACATGAGACTCAGGGACGTGAGACTCGGGGACGTGAGACTCGGGGACGTGAGACCTGGGGACGTGAGACTCGGGGACGAGAGACTCGGGGACGTGGGACTCAAGTTAGTAGTAGCCAATGGTTTTCAGCGTCCATGGCTCGGCCGGACATGTTTGCTTGCCTATTTGACCGTGATAACTCTGGGTACAGAATAGTTTCAACGCAAGGGGTCTTGAAACTGTTAAAAACAAAAAACATCGTGGGCAGCTATGGAGGACTTTCTTGGTAAGTAACCGTGTTTTCTTCTCGATCTTTATAATCATACTTCACAAATTCAGCCCAAAAATAAGGTTTATTCATCACGTTTCCGAGTCTCCACGCGTCCCCGAGTCCCCGCGTCCCCGAGTCCCCGCGTCCCACGTCCCTGAGTCCTACGTCTCCTAGTTCCACGTCCCTGAGTCGGACGACTCCTAGTCCCACGTCCCTGAGCCCGACGTCTCCTAGTCCCACGTCCCCGAGTCCCCGCGTCCCGCGTTCTTCGTCCCAGGTCTCCAAGGCCCACTTCCTCGAGTCCCAGTCCTCGCGTCCCCGTCCCACTTTAAGTCACAGCCGTCCCGGCGGGCCATAACTACACTGACGGCACATTGGGCATGCATTCAATTATGGTTAACTTCACAGGTATAGCTCGCATAGTCAAAGATATGAAGTCTCCATTCGTGTGCACTACATACCTAATCGGCGAACAAAGGTTTAGTATTTCGATTACAACTCGTAAGCTGTGCACTGTGCAATTTCACCAATTAGGGACAAAAGTCCCTTCAACCTATTGTTTTACAAACCGCCACCACCCGCCCATAATATCAATAATCGTAGAATTGCGCTCCTGTCAGACTCTAGGTTGAGTTAACTTGTATCTGTCGAACAAAAATATTTGAACCGATGATGGTGAGTACACCGGAAAACATCTCCCAGTTCTACGAGCCATGTTGATTTTTACGCCGGATTCTGGAATCACCACCAGAGGAAAGACTTCCCAATGAAGATCAGTGGGTTGGCTTCGATGACTCAAACAATTCTTTGAATGCAGAATCTTTCATTTATAGAGAAATAATTCCAAATTTAGAGAGTCAGATAGAAATGGAAGGTAAAGTTAAAAACACCTGAATACAAAGTATCACATGCAGTCAATTCAGTGTCGATAACTTTTCAAATTTCAAGGTTGATAAGAGGTCAGAAGTGTACAATATATATGCAGTTCAAAGCACCTACCTTATTGTTTTTATTGTAAACAGTTACTATGACCGGTAGCGCGAACTTCAGTAGTAACGTATCGTAACGATAAATGTAATTTAGTGTTATCAGTTATGAGTTTAAAGGCTGACGTTTCGAGCGTTCGCCCTTCGTCAGAGCGATTGGGTAACGATAAATTAGAGCGATTAGATAACGATAAATGGTCTGAGGGAAACTTTGTTTGCCTGGTAAATATCCCCGATATAATTAAAATTTTTTTTTACCAAACGGTTATCAAATCGTCATATCTGAGTTTAGACTATCACTTAGTTATGAATTGTATGTTTTCAGTCTTGAATGGAGATGTAGAACCCACAAACTTTTGATAATAGCACATTTTAGGCCAATTTTGTCGTTGCAAAAATTGATACGATGCATAATTTACTTCGGTTGAAATACACTTCGATAAGAATTGGCGAATTATTTCAGATTTCTTGGATTCCGTCGTTGTTTTCAATGTAGAACCCGGTCAAAATCAGAAGGCGTCCTCACAATGGCTTTGTAGAGTGGGTCTGCAGTTCATTATCCCTTTCATTGGTTTGTGACTTATTGGGCAACATTGCTCACAGGCTGCCCAAGCTCCAGCTGTGAGATGATCATCTTGCGCAATAACAGTCATGGCGGAATTATAAGAGTTTGTATGGGAATATTTACGACCGCTCTAAGGAATTAAAATAATACGTGAAATTCTCAAAAAAAAACAAAAAACCTCACCTTACTTCCACAGCGTATTTCTTGTTATCTGACCACTTACTTTGATGAAAAGAACGCATTTTAGCGAGTTGTCCATTTGGAGGTTTTCAACGTCCATAAGAAAAGCCAAATGTTTTAAAATAGGTCAAAGGACTGAAATTGTGACTAGTTAATTTTTTTTGGCTAGAGGAGGTTGCTTATTTGCTATATAACAAACTCCAATTTTATTAAAGTGATATTTTTCATTCAGTTTTTGTATCTGATCATAAAATAAAGTTAAGTGACTTGAACTGTACGTTGTATTGCTTACTTTCTTAACATTTTGATATTCTAAATTTTAACATGTGGCATTGAGCCATGTGCTATTTTAGTTACATAATTTCTAATGAAAGTTAATTGACAGAATATTTGTGGCATCTGTTTCTGACTGGTTGGAGAAAAACCGTTATATTCCTGTATCCATCACGCCATGAGTGAATTTCTGCAACATCTAATGAATGAGAGGATGCAGAATTTCTACAACATCCAGTGTTTGAGTGGTCACAGTATTTCCGTGACATTCAGTGTATGAGTAGTCGCAGAATTTCTGCGACACCTGGTGAAATAGTGGTTGCAGAATTTCTGCGACATCCAGTGAATGAGTGGTCGCAGAGTTTCTGCGACACCCAGTATATGAGTGGTCGCAGAATTTCTGTGACACTTAGTGAATGAGTGGTCACAAGATTCGCGCTTATTTTAAATATTTCTTTGATTACGTATTTGGCCGGTAGGAGGCCTTTCATGCGGTTTACCACTAACTATGGATTCAGGCCGTGCTTTAGATCCGCGGTAAAGGTATACAACATTCATATCTCAGGTCTTTGGTACATCGTTCTTTCTTGAGTAATAACCTCAGCCTAGAGAAATGTGGTGAAACAACTAACTGATCTAACTATCTTTCTTATTCTGTTTACGCAACCGATTGATCTGCGGCGCAAGAAGCTTACCGCTGAATCATAAAACAAGAAATGTGCTTCAGAGCCGATCTACTCTTTCAAGAAATCTGGATCAGAGCTGACTTTCGAAAAAACCCAGCCCACAGTTGCAGATACAAATAGCATCCATACTTAACATCCAGGGCTTGTTGTGAATAAAAAACATTTATCTGCATGATGTTTTGCGCCATCTTCAGTTATGATAAGATCTCCTGTTCTCAGGGCTCTCTCTCTCACTTTCTTTTCACAGAAAAATCGACAATCAAGGACTGGGAGATCGTGCTAATCGCAGCTGCAACAATTGTCTTTTTTCTATTGGTGGCTATTGGCGTTTTGGCGGTGAGTATGCTGTTAATTTCTTTGCATTTTGCGATGCGTATTTGAATAATCAAAACTATCAACCATGGACGTATCTGAAAGGATCGAATTTGGCGTGCTCGGCAACAGATACAAATGTACACCCTGTTTCAATTGCATTCATGTAGTTGGCTGGTCTAAGTTCTTGATGACAATTGTTGCTCACTCGAAATCAAATGATTGAGAGCTTTACTGTCGCGTCATTTATACTGGTGAGGTAAGGGAGCGGCAGAAGGTATTTGAGAGAGAAGTGGTGGGAAAAAATTGAACTTTCAATTCGTTTCTTGGCCACGAAAATGTTTTTCATCACGATGAGTTGGTTGTAGGAACATGATGGTGTACGGCATGGCTCCGACATATTTCTATCATGTCAACGACTGAAAATTATCATGCAGGGTTATCGCTACAAAGACATTTAGGCACAGGCGGTGTAGTTTTCTGCTTAAGAGTTGCTCAAGCGTTCTTTTCATTTACTCTTCTCTATTTGAACAGGTGAAATACAGAAACGCTGTTCAGGATGAAAAGAAAGAATTGTATGCCCTTGATGGAGACTGGCAACTAATGGAAAACGGGTATAATGGCTTGAGGGCTCAGCCGCAGGTTTGTCGACCAGTGTCTTTTGGGGCTTACATTGTTTTGTGGGGGTAACGAAGGGTGCCATCTGTTGCTAACAGAGTTTAAATGGAAGAACATAGAAAGTTGACTGCCAATGAGGGATGGGGGAGGGTCATTAGAATGCTACAGAGCCTTAGGAAAGGGGATTAGGTAGATTTTATTGCTACACAACCACATTCCTTCCCCCCTTCCCGACGATAAAAAATAGATGGTTTTCAAGACATTTCCATTGATTTTTCCTCGCCTAACTGATCTTGGTATCCTTTTTTTTACAGAGCTATGCGTCTCCAACGTATGACAAAGTACCTGGATCTGATAACAAGGCATATCAGCATGACAGTGCATTGTAAATTTAATGAAAAACAAAAATCATCAACGAGGTCGAAATAATCAGCCAGTTTAAAACGCCTCTTAGAACTCTGTGGCCTCATCCTAACAGTGGGCTTTTATAACACAACGACCTCAATTTAGATATTCAAGCGTTTCCAAGCTGATAGTAATAAAAGTTTGTTTCTCTGAGGTATCACTTAACTTGACGTGCGATAAATTCGTTACATGCTATTTCAAAGAGAAAAGATAAACATTTGAGGGATTTAAGGATCTAGAAAGTGTAACCGACACTGAACATATGTACACAGTTTTTTTCAAGAATTTATTTTACCATTGTCCAGTTAACAAACAGATAAATTCAATGCCGTGGGCCCGTTTGGTAACAGATCGGATATCTGGTTCAAAGTTAAATGGGTGTTCCAACACCTGTCTTGACGCAATCCCACGAACACTCGGGTGATCGCTAAAATTCTCCACGCTGCCGCGGTGGGTTTCAAATACAGCACCACTTCACTGGGCTCCGTCTGAACTTTGCCATCCTCTACTAATGTCACGCTGTTCTGTTTGGACAAGGACGAGTTAGGGAGTAATGGCTTCATTTTTTTCCAGAACTCCTCAGGGTGTTTCGCATTAGATGTTACATTACTTCAAAATTCCTTGATGCCCTTTCTCTTTAGCGAGGTGACTTTACTACGGTGTGCTTATACGCAACCCAGAGATTGTCAGTTCGGCATTACGCATAATGCATGATTAGGATGCGGAGGACTTAGCGAGTAACAGGGCAAGTTTACTCTTTAAAATGCGGGGTGGTCATCTTTCTTAGCCTTCTTCTCGATACAGCAAATAAATTAGCTTTCCTTCTGCAGTAATCGTGTCTTTTTCTTTTTCTTTTCTTAAGACTTATGATTTCCTCACCAGGGGAATAACTCTAACAAGGATTCCTATGCATGAGCAAGTTGTCACACATTTTGTTGCACCGTTCGTCTTTAGGTGACCGCTTAGATGTTATACCGACTGCTGTGATGCGAGTTTATGGCCTTTACGAGGGTGGAAAAGGGTTTACACGTGACGCATGAATTCCTCACAAACTCATGCATGAAATAAGATCATGCAGAAGCGCCCCCCCCCTCCTTTATCCCCCTCCTACCCTTCCTTTTTGGGTGTTGAAATAAGATTAAAGGCCCTTGCGGAGGTTCGATTTTGTAGAAATATGAACAGCGAGCCATTGTCATACGTTCTTTTATTGCTTATTTAAGTTGCGTCCGTTACATGAAAGTTACGCCTTACATTGAGGACTAAGAAAACCATTACATATATAACAACTAAGGGCATTCCAATCGCATTGCACACTTGCTATTTTTTTTGTTAGATTAAAAAGGCTTACACTATTTAGCACTTAAATCCGTGGAGACTACGATATACTCTGCCCTTCATCATTATTAAAACCGACTTTATAACTGTTTAGTCTTAAACCGATGATATGAGCCATCACTGCGGACTCAAAATGGTCTCACTCGGCACTGGTTACAGTGTGCACACCAGCTATCAAGGCTCCATCTGGTGGACCAGGGGGAAAATCATCATTACTCACTCTATCTTGATAACATCGTCTCACTTGTGCACACCAGCTATTTTGGCTTTTACTGGTGGACCAGGGTAATAATCATCTTTCAATCCTCCGCCTTTCCCGGTGCCTTTACCCTTACTGCCTTTTCCAGAAGCCGTGGCGTCTGATACTTCGATGAAGATAACTCGAGGAGGCGGATCACTAAGAGCTGTGTACAAGACATACGCGTCTTTGCCTGTTTCAGCAAAGTTGACTTCCTCTTTGCGACATTTACCTGCATGGTTATCAGCACTGCATGTTGGGAGCAGAATCATGAAGCGGATGTCATGTTGTGGCGTTTGAAATGAAGCGTAGACATGTGCAGTGGCTCCTGCCTTTTGAGGACTCGTTGGTTTACAATTGGGGTTGGTGCAGTTATGTACACAGCAATACTCTTCAGTGACAGGTGTCCCTTTGGTGCACTTTTTCCACAACTCACCGGCAGCACTTGCCTCCAAGGGCTCCCCTCCAACTGAAGCCACTGTTTTAGGTTTATCACCGGTTGTCAACACCGCATGAGTAAAGCCTAATGACCAACCAGGTCTTAAGCTAAACATTGCGTTGCCAGAATCTTGGAAGGCTGATTGAAACAAATCTTGTTCGATTCCAAAGTCTTTGTAAAAATCGGGTGGGAGAGTTGACGCATCAGTCATGTTTCTCTGTATATCTCTGTTCCTGATGGAAGAATAGTCGAAGAGCTTTCTGTTTCCCCAACTATTTTTACTGCTTAAATATCTGTTAGTTAACTATGCTGAGGTATTGTTTGCAAATTTCGGAATGTTCCGCTCTCTTGGTATTCTTTGTTACACAAAGTGGTAATGACCTCCGAAACCTATAAAATACTCAAAAATTTTCAACTTCCGGCCCTATCATGATGTGTTAGGATTTTGAATAACCCTCCGCCACCTTATTTTACCCTTGGTAATAGGCTTCTATCGCTAAATATGTCATGATGTTGCGTTTTTTAATTAATATTTCAAGCGCTGCAGAGCATTACATCATCATGTCCCTAGTTACAAATTAGTCAGATACTCTCATCAATCATTGGGAAACCAACAAAAGACAGAAACTCGTGCACTTAATAAACAACAGCAAGTACCAAAACAGTCATCGTCAGGTTCTTGGTGTGACAATATAGTTTATGGAATAAAAGTTCTCTCGCAGTAACATTGCTTCTGTTATGATAAACAGGAATATTAAACTGGGTCATGGAATTTACATTCGCTCTCCTGGTTTTTGTTTTATTGAAGTGCACTCAGTGAAAAAATTTACATCCTCTAATTATGTATTGTGACGCTATTCCGGCTTGATCTGTCCTTATTCCGCGTTTCATTAATCAGTGAAAACACTAATAAATTAATCAACGACCAGTTTTATCAAAGGAATTCACGTCTTTTCATCGAACGTTCCTGTCTTCGTGACTTCGTTTCATCTCTTTTGATCTCAGCTGAGGTCTCCTTACTAATTGACTGTTGGCTACTCGTAATAAGTTGGTGTTGTACGGTCAAACCTCCATTGAGCGGACCTCTGTCAAACGGCCAGTCTTTATGAATCGGTCAGTGGAAAATTCTCGGAATTCATTTCTCATATTTATACCGTTAATTAAATCTCTGTTAACGGTATCTGTCGTATTGTCGTATCTGGTTTTTTCATCACATTAACCCCTCATACCTTAGCATCAGTATGCATATTCTCCACACTTTTTTTTATACATTTCCTGGGGTGCTGATCATTTCCTTTATTCTCATGACCTTAATGTGCGATTCAGAAGTGATATTGTAGGGAGAAATTAGATGCTAGTCACTCTTAGGGTATAAATGGTTAAGAGTAACAGCAATTATTTAGCCTCCAAAATGCCTGATTCTTTTGGCATCAACCTCTTTTAACCGTTCAACACTTCGGAGCGATTGGCTTCTATTTTTTCCTAAACAAAATATCACTCCTTGCGATAATTTCGTTCACTGTCCATCTGAGTCCTAATTAACATTCTAGGCCTGTTATATGCGCGTTGAGAAAGAGCCACCGCTTTCCTTCCTTAACTGAACACAAACTAAAATTATTACTCTGTGATTATCCAGATGCATTCAGATTTAGGCTGCTATGTCACACTTCTTTCCAAATATTGAATAACTCCTCTGTCAGCTATAACTCCTAAGAATAACTCCGCTGTCTCGACAAAAATACTTTGCAGGTTCTTTGTTACTTAGACAATTGTCTTTGTGCTATCAGCATTCCCACCAACAGGACCAATAGCAACCTTCGTCATGTTTTCCAACCTGTTTTCACTGCGATCGTTAAAAGAAAGAACGCGACAGGACGAAACCATGCAAAGCTTATTCACATGCTCAAACCTCTCGTTAGTGTGGTTCGTAGATTGCTCACTTTACCCATTCTGAAGTTGCCTTGTAGCCTGGATGGGGCTACCACTTAACTGAGCTGCGAGTTTTCGAAAGTTTATAAGTGCTAGTCGGCACGTTAGCTTTGAAGCTTGGAAGCCTCGCATCCATGTAGCAACATGTAACAGGCAGCCAAGTAGCCAAGTGAGAAAGAAGTCTCTTGTATGATTGGTTTAGTACCTCAGGAGCCTTTCAACCCTCTTCAGTTGTAGTCACATGTACAGGTGTCACGCAGTAACGATTCTATACGGTTAGGCAACCAGGTGATCATGTGCTGATGGAGCTATGTAGCTATCTGGTCATGTCGTAACTATTTATACAGTTAGCAGCCAGCCTTGGAGGAACTGACATGCAACCACGTACAACTGTAGCCTTTTAGTCACATCAAGTCGCTTAGCCACTGAAATCTAGCAGCAATTTAGTTACTTCTTTTCAGTCCGCACATCAAAGAGTTCCAGGAAGAACATAGCCATGCTCCTTACCACAACAATTAGCTGGGTTTTATCAACATAGTCTTATTGTTCACAGTTATTGTTAACAAGCCTTTATTAAGCTGACCGCAAGAAGCAACACTTTAAAAATGTATTGATACCCGAAAAATAGATAAACATGTTTTGTTATAACTAATTTGCTAAATGAATCGTTTTATCGCTTTCCCTCTTTACTTTTGTAACATTTCCCACTCCTTCGTTTTGAAAGCATTTCTTTGGTTTTATTTTTAACCAAAGTTGCGCGTTACTTACGCAGCAATTGAAAGGGGAACAAATCCGAGTTTTTCAACCGTGTCCTGAAACATAGAGAGAAGCTTCTGGACCGCTGCCCATGGTTTGATATTTTTTGCGACCTATAGACCGGCATCGATCGGAGAGTAAATTTTTATTCTGACCTGAGACAAACGAGAGTTTTTACGAAGGAAATATTGGCAAAAAGAAAATAAAGCACTCCTTCCAAGCATTGCATTTTTAAAGACTCCCATAAGCGTTTTATGCGATCACGGCCCGTGACCGGCAAACCTAAATATTTCCTCTTTCCGCATCAAGAACTTTATCTGACGTATAATACATTGACGTTTGCTCGTAATTTTCATTCCTCATTGGCATCTTCGCGTGTAAAGACAGGTCTGGAAGGTAAGGTTTCCTTCTTTGAAATCTCTTGTTATTTTATCGTAATAAGATGCAAATATCTAACTTTCGACCAATGCCAGTTGTTTGATCGGTAGTGAGTGAAATCAGATAAGATTGGCTGACTCATGCACCAGCTTCTGATGTCTTATAGCAGGCCAACATCGTTACTTTGCATCAAGTGAATCAGGCGGCTTTTCTAAGCTTCATACAATTCGTACCGTTTACGACGGCACTTTTTTTTTACTTAAACAGAAGCACCTGTTAGTTTTTACTGCAACATTAGTGATTTTATGCGACAGAAAACAGATCAGATTCAAAAAAATATATGGGTTCGCGTCTTAACAGTTATTGTTTGACCAGCGCGGAACTTTTTCCAAGAGAGAATTTCAAAAAAGTGTGACGAATTCGTGGGTTTCTTATGTTAGGTTTATTTTTAAACGTGAGGCATCTTTTTTGGATAAATAAACATAAAAGAAATTCCGCAGGCATAAGAAGAATAAATATAAAGAAACTGGAATGAACGTTGAAAACTTAAATTAAAAAACAAGCCTTCAGGGAACATAATCAACGACTAAGTCAGGGTCGTATCTTGCATTCCCGAGAGGAAAAACATATAAGTTTGCGAAGCTAACCGCAGAACGAATGTGCATTGCATTTATTAACCTCCACGTCAGTTTGAGATGCCTGGTCAGCTCGTTGATAGGAACTAAGTTTTAGATCAGTACCTCTTCCAAATAAATAAAAGTAATCTTTCAGTATCAAGACATTTCTCCATTTTCATACATTTTGGTTACCTCTTTCACTTTTTGTTGTTTTTGCTTCGTCATATCGGTAAATGATGCTTTCCACAAACGTGACGGTATTCTTAAACAGCTTCTTGTTAATTTGCATTTTGCGCTCAACAAAGAGACCACGTACAATCCAAAAATAGCTCTAGTACTATTGTATACAACCTGACAGTTATTATGCGGAAACACACCAGCTATCAGTTGAAATATAAAGGGACAACAGAACTCAGACAAACTGGTCACTTGTAGCAAAACAACTATCCCGTGATAGTAGCCATATCCATAACAGCTTATTCTACATTACTTCTCCATTAAGCATATTGGACCATCTTTCCAAAATGAGTTTATTCATTAACGACCTAAACCAAAACATTTGGCTTTAACTTCACATTAACTCGCTGAGTGAATTAGAGAAGAGTGTTTCGCTCTGTTAGCTCTGTTGTCTCCATCTCGATTCTATGGGCCGTCGGAATTGAGGCTCGCAGCCAGGGAGGAAGAGACAGTCTCCAACCTTTACTGCATGTATAGGTAACATACAAAAACAAACATGAAATGACCCGGAAAATGTCTTCGTGAAAATCGTGAATAGTACTCATTCCTCTTCACCGATCAATATCGCAGATACCGTTGACGTGGAAGGAAGTGAGGTGACGTAACTCATCGTCAAATGGGGTTTTTTGCATTATGATTACAAACTGATTTATAAACAATCAGTGGATGAGGTTTTTGTGATAACCAGAAAAATCAAGGCCGAGGCAAGGTAAATTTACTCAGAATCTCTATAATTCCTTTATAAGATTCGGAGCAAAAGTACGGAAAAAATTCCAGTAGAAAAAACAACGCTCATCAAATAATAAAATAAAAAATTTAAGAAATCACTCTTTATGCCTCTCCAACTTCCTAAGATCGTAATCTTGATATAATCATGGAGAGAAATTTGCCTGCTGATAGCATCTTCTCCTACACTTTATATTTTACTTCTTTATTTGATTAGTTAATTTATCACTTCATTTATTCATGTGTAAATTTTTTTTCATTGACTCATTTTTTTCGCAACCATATCGATCCTGGATCTCATAAAAAATAATTTGTCTGTACAAAATGTCTGAACAGTACGTAGTCGCTCCGTTCTCTTATAGAATCTCTATCATATTTATAACTTTTTGATAGAATATTGTGAAAAAAAAACCTTACCGTGTGGTCATGTCATTTTGCATTTTTTCAATGATTACCCTTTTAATTTGCTTTTCGTGTGCTGCGCCGGGATAAGTTTAGACTTCCGGCGGGTCGATGATATATATCGATATTGTCAGGTCTTTGAACAATAATTGTTTCAATAAATTATATACACGTGTATGTATAGATAAGTTGCCTGACCGAAAACGCAAAACCACAAGGTCCAGCATTGTTGTCATTTTTTGCAATCAGCATTCAGAATTTATTTCGTCTCCTAAATAGAGTTTAATTCAATTTTGAAAATGTACTTCCGTTGTATTTTCGTATTTCGTTTTATATTCTTTCATAGTAGTTCACGTATTTGTAAAGTTAATTTCAAATTGTTACACCAGCATTGGCAACCGAAGAGGTCATGACTAGTGTCGAAAAATTTTTCGCAAAACAAAAACTGTTTTGTCTTATAATAAAATTGTTATTCATCTATTAATTTTCTATTTATTTGTTTGCCAAAGTAAAAGAAAAAATTTACGAGGAAGTGTAACAAGCTAAGTTCAATACATTTTATGGAGAGGAAACCTAAATGAAACCACGAGGCTTTCTCCGAACGATTGCAGAAGAATAAGAAGAAAAAGGCATTATAAGCGATATCAAATTTTAAAAATATTGAGGTCAAGCAGGAGAAAGCAACTGGACATTATATTCCCTTAAGTAGTGTTATAATGTTAACATTTTAACGGCTGTTTTTTTCTCCCTTTGCACACAAGCTTTTGCCAGCCACTAATTAATATCACACAGACCATTATAAGAGGAAATTCAGCTAATATTCTTCGACAGCCTTTGGCACTCTTTCGATCACATCACGACAAAGATGGCTCAGCCCCTAAAGGAACAATTTGTTGCTCTTGTTGCATGCATCCTGCTGACACTACCAGGTGGTAAGTCGATACGAACTCATGTTATGAACTTAAATGCAATTATTTAATGGAAGGTAAGCTAAAGTTATGGACGTATGAAATATGTCATGCAATTAAAATATTGAATTTGTATGTGCAGGCGACATGTCATCAACGATGCATATGATGCCATCAGAGTCTGCAAGTGACATGACATCAATAGTGCATATGATGCCATCCCCATCGGCTAATGACAAGTCATCAATGGTGCATATGACGCCATCCCCATCGGCTAATGACAAGTCATCAATGGTGCATATGATGCCATCCCCATCTGCAAGTGAAATGACATCAATAATGCGTATGATGCCATCACAATCTGCAAGTGAAATGACATCAATGGTGCATATGATGCCATCACAATCTGCAAGTGATATGTCATCAATGGTGCATATGATGCCATCCCCATCTGCAAGTGACATGACATCAATGGTGCATATGATACCACCACAGTCTGCAAGTGACATGACGTCAATGGTGCATATGTTGCCATCCCCATCTGAAAGTGACATATCATCAATGATGCATATGATGCCATCCCCCTCTGCAAGTGACATTTCATCAATGATACATATGATGCCATCACCATCTGCAAGTGAAATGACATCAATGGTGCATATGATGCCATCACAATCTGCAAGTGATATGACGTCAATGGTGCATATGATGCCATCCCCATCTGCAAGTGAAATGACATCAACAATGCATATGATGCCATCACAATCTGCAAGTGAAATGACATCAATGGTGCATATGATGCCATCCCCATCTGCAAGTGATATGTCATCAATGGTGCATATGATGCCATCCCCATCTGCAAGTGACATGACGTCAATGATGCATATGATGCCATCCCCATCTGCAAGTGACATTTCATCAATGATGCATATGATGCCATCACCATCTGCAAGTGAAATGACATCAATGGTGCATATGATGCCATCACAATCTGCAAGTGACATGTCATCAATGGTGCATATGATGCCATCCCAATCTGCAAGTGACATGACATCAATGATGCATATGATGCCATCCCCATCTGCAAGTGAAATGACATCAATGATGCATATGATGCCATCCCCATCTGCTAGTGAAATGACATCAATAATGCATATGATGCCATCACAATCTGCAAGTGAAATGACATCAATGGTGCATATGATGCCATCACCATCTGCAAGTGAAATGACATCAATGGTGCATATGTTGCCATCCCCATCTGAAAGTGACATATCATCAATGGTGCATATGTTGCCATCCCCATCTGCAAGTGAAATGACATCAATAATGCATATGATGCCATCACAATCTGCAAGTGAAATGACATCAATGGTGCATATGATGCCATCACAATCTGCAAGTGATATGTCATCAATGGTGCATACGATGCCATCGCCATCTGTTAGCGAAATGGCTCCAATGGTGACTAGCATTATTCCAACGGTAGCACCTAAGTGTTCTCCAGGATTTACTGGAAGTGATTGCTCCATAAGTAAGTGATGAATGCATTTAGATTTTGTTTTTAATACAATACCAGCGCCGGTAAACAATGCTAACTGTTGTTGTTGTTGTTGTTTTTTGCTGTCATAGATATTAATGACTGTGAATACGAAAACTGCTCAGGAAATGGAGTGTGCATTGACAAAATAGATGGATTTCTATGTGAATGCAGAAATAATTACTTTGGAGAAAATTGTGAGAAAAGTAAGTCTCGTTAGATGTTCATAACGACACTGTAAACTTAGGAACCATTTCTACTTTTGCGAAAAAGCAAAGAAATATCTGATTGAATTTAGAGAGGAAGATTGAAGGCAAATAAATATCTCTGTATTTGTCACTTGTTTTTTTTTAATTTAGCTCACATTTCTTTCATTTTAAAATGTTTACTTGGTGTAGCCGTATTAAAGGATATCATTGATGATGTTAGACTTGAAGGCGATGGTCAATAAGCGACATTACGTTTACTTCTTCGAAAATTTAGCGAAAGCTTAGCAATTATGGGCACTGATTTGATTTGAAAGTATATAAACAAACGTATTTGGTTATACCAATGAAGAAAACATATGTCTAACACATAAACGTAGACATCCCAATCCCGTCTGAATTTATCGCGTCTTTGTCCTTAGAAATCAGTGCCTGTAGTCCAAACCCATGCGGAAACGATGGAACTTGCACAGAAGATGGTAAAACGTTCAGATGTACATGCACTCCAGCGTTTGAAGGGACAACCTGCCAATCAGGTATGGGCCTGTCTGACATTTCCCGTTCCAGTAATATATCGTTCCAACGAAGTACTGCCAAGTAGGGAATAACACATGTATCCACGTAATAGTTAGAAAAGCGTGTTCTGACGTTTTTTTAAGTTAACCTTGATTTTAACACAACCTCTCGCTAGTTGGTTTCTAGATAACGAATTTATCATCAATCTCAAGAAAGGTAAAAGTGATATGGTGCTGTTTGGAAAAGCAAAAATATCAAGCGGATTAGATGGTAAAGAGCTATGTATGTACCGAGGGGCTACCCTGTAAAAATATTCAGTATTAACACTATTTCTATTATTATCATCGTCATCATTACTATTATTACAAATCGCCAATATATCATTCCAACTCAAACATTATTCGAATGTCGCCGATAAATCGCGACTTTCTCGATAATCGACGACTAACGTTTGCATTGCTATGCACGGTACTGTACCTGTGCCCAACAACATGATATGGTGATAACTGATAAATTTTGTTGAAGGAAAGCAGGCTGAATGAATACAGCACTTGACAAGGAAAACAGTGAAGAATTTGATCCGTTTTCTTGCAAGCTTTCTTATCCCTTCTTGGACCTCGTACTCTGTTTTTGCACGCTGCTTATGGATGTTGTCGTCCTCAGTCCAAAATCGACGCGTTTGACTTGTATCGGAGTCTAATATGTCGTTTTCGCTGTTTCTTTTCTACTTTTTTTTAATCGTTTCCATATGTTGATATGTTATCGTTGATCTTTTTTATACAGAGAAGCCTACCCAAAAATTTGCCGGCAGAGTGAAACTGGATCAAGCTTATGACGAGGAGTATAATGATATCAACTCACCAAGATCTCGTGCCCTCATTACAGTTTTGGACTCGAAATTAAAAGTATTTTTAAAAAAGGAGTTTCCAGATTTAATAGATATTATTTACAAGAGGTTTTTCAAAGGAAGTGTTGGAGTTGACTATGAATTGCTATTTCCAACAACCTCAAATGTGACTGATAGCAACATCGTGCAAGCTCTTAATGAAGGTAATGGCTCAAGCGATCTGGGGTTTTTGAGGCTGACGGGAGATATAACCGTAACGAAGCAGGTCGTTCAGATGACAGCAGCACCAACTGCAACCACAGGTAACTTACAGTGTCTTTCTATTTTTCATGTTGCTTTTATGTTGTTAGCCTTCAATGAAGTTCAGGGTAATTTGACTTGCTTTAAAATATCCACTACCATATTTGTTTAACTATACTAGCACGAAATGAAGATTATCATATTTCCGGCTGGAACCTCTCTTTGGGACATCTATACTTTTAAGGAACATTTCCACAATTTATGCTGAGTATATTTCGTTTGAAAAGTTCGCCCTTGACTCTGTATCTGTTCAGACGATAGAAGGGACAGTAACAGACGACCCGAGATTGTCCTCTTCCTTCCTATACCTTCCTATACCTTCCATCACATCGACGAAAACGAGCGAAGCCAGGCCATGATTAGGCTGCATGGCCGGTTCTGCTACCAGTATGTAGGCGCAAATGTTCAAATCAACAATTGCGCTTATTCTTATCTATTTCTTTGATTATGTATTTGGCCGGTATGAGGCCTTTCATGCGGTTTACCACTAACTATGGATTCAGGCCGTGCTTTAGATCCGCGGTATAGGCATAGAACATTCATATCTCAGGTTTTTGGTACACTGTGCTTACTTGAGCAATAACCTCCAGCCTCGAGATATATGGTGAAACTACTAACTGATATAACCATCTTTCTTATTCTGTTTACGCAACCGATTGATCTGCGGAGCAAGAAGCTTACCGCTAAGTCGAAAAACAAGAAATGTGTTTCGGAGCCGATCAACACTTTCAAGAAATCTGGAGTCAAAGTTGAATTGCGAAAAAACCCAGCTCACGGTGGCAGATACAAATAGCATCCACACTTAACATCGTGGGCTTGTTGTGACTAAAAAAACATTTATCTGCATGATGTTTTGCGCCATCTTCAGTTATGATAAGATCTCCTGTTCTCAGGGCTCTCTCTCTCACTTTCTTTTTACAGAAAAATCAACAATCAAGGACTGGGAGATCGTGCTAATCGCAGCTGCAACTATTGTCTTTTTTCTATTGGTGGCTATTGGCGTTTTGGCAGTGAGTATTCAGATAATTTCTTTGCATTTTGCGATGCGTATTTGAATCATCAAAACTACCAATCATGGACTTATCTGAAAGGATCGAATTTGGCGTGCTCGGCGACAGATACTCGTGCACACCCTGTTTCAATTACATTCATGTAATTGGCTGGTCTAAGTTCTTGGTGTCAATTGTTGCTCACTCGAAATCAAATGATTGAGAACTTTACTGTCGCGCCATTTATTTTGGTGGGTATGGAAGCGGCAGAAGGGATTTGAGAGAGAAGTGGTGGGAAAAAATTGAACTTTCTATTCATTTCTTGGGCGCGAAAATTTTTATCATCATTACGATAGGTTGGTTGTAGAACATGATGGCGCACGGTATGGCTCCGACATATTTCTATCATGTCAAGGACTAAAAATTATCTTGAAGCGTCATCGCAACAAAGACATTTAGGCACACAGGCTGTGTAGTTTACTGCTTAAAAGTTGCACGATCGTTTTTTTCATTTACTCGTCTCTATTTGAACAGGTGAAATACAGAAACGCTGTTCAGGGTGAAAAGAAGGAGTTGTATGCCCTTAATGGAGAATGGGAAGTAATGGAGAACGGGCATAATGGCTTGAGGGCTCAGCCTGGTTACAAGAGTCGTAACGGACCGCAGGTTTGTTGAGCAGTGTTTTCTTGAGATCACATGGATTTCCAGGGGAACGGGGGGTGCCATTCGTTGCTAGCAGAGTATAAATGAGAGAACTCAGAAAATTGACTGCCATATTGATTTATATTGATTTATCCTCGCCTAACTGATCTTGGTTATCTATGTTTTACAGAGCTATGTGTCTCCAATGTATGGACAAATACCTGGATCTGATAACAAGGCATATCAGCATGACAGTGCGTTGTAGGTTTAATGAGCAAAACCGTTAATGTAGTCAAAAAATCAACCAGTTTCATCCTAACAGTCGGTTTTAGAACGAAACGACTTTAATTTAGATATTTAAGCGATTCCAAGTTGACTGTAATTTCTCACTTGACTCCACGTGCGATAAATTCGTTACATACTATTTCAGAAAAAAAGACAAACATTTGAGGGATTTAAGGATCTAGAAAATGTAACCGACATTGAACATACGTACACAGTTTTTTTCACGAAGTATTTTACCACTGTCCAGCTAACGAACAGATAAATTCAATGCCGTGGGCCCTTTTGGTTACAGATCGGATACTAAGTCAACTTGAAGTGTTGAGAGAATCAATGATCAGTTACACTCTCGCCTGCGTCTCGTGTGCAACTTTTTGTTGGTACATCATTTTGACATGTCATGTACTTCTTAGCTTACAAAGACAGCGAAATGATATCTGCAAAGCTGGAAAGACTAAACTAATTTGGCGCACGTGCGAATCACCTAAGATTTTGTAAGATGTTATTCTACCTAAAATAGCAAGGACAAAAAAGAAAATTTGAATCAAGAACAGCAGTACGTTCGCGTGAATAATGAAACTGTGTCGGTCATCCTCAGAGGTACTTGTGCAGCGGGAAATATTTGTTACTTAACGCAAACTTAACGATGCAGAGAACTTAGCGAGTAACGATAAGCCAAAGGGCTAGAACAGTTTTTCAAGTTTACTTTCTGATATGCTTAGGGTTAACTTTCGCCTCAATACAGTTAATAAATTGGTTTCTCTTTTGCAGCAATCGCGTCTTTTTCTTTTTTTGAGACTCATGATTTCCTCCCCAGGGGAATAACTCTAACAAAGATTCCTATGCATGAGCGAGTTGTCACACTGTTCGTCATTCGGTGACCCTTGCTTAGAGGTTTGGCAGTCGTGGTGCAATTCCGTTGCCTTTGCGAGGGTGGAAAAGAGTTTATAGGAGACGCATCATCAAATCCAAAATCAACATGTGACGCGTGAATTCTCCGGAAGAGCAAGCGTGATTCGTGAATTTATAAACTAGCGTAAAATCTCATACACAAGAAGAGAAATTTGAAACGTGACACATGAGTTCCTCACAAGTTCGTGCGTGAAACGGGATCAGAAGCTTCCCCCCTCCTACCCTCCCTTACTTCCTGGGTGTTGAAAGATTAAAAGCCCCTGCAGATGTTCGATTTTTGTAGAAATATGAACAGCAAGCCTTTATCAAACTTTTTTTCTATTACTTATTTAAGTTGCATCCGTTACACGTAAATTACGCCTTACACTGAGGACTGAGGAAACCATTACAAATACAACAACGCCAACTGAGGGCATTCCAATCGCATTGCTTACTTACTTAATAATTTTTTTTGTTAGGTTAGAAAGGCTTGCACTATTCAGCATATAATTCCGACGAGACTACAATTTACTCTTCCGTTCATTATTAGAAAAGTATCTTTATAACTGTTTAGTCTTAAACCGATGATATGAATCATCATTACTCACTCTATCTTGCTAACATCGTCTCACTTGCGCACACCAGCTATTTTGGCTCCTACTGGTGGACCAGGGGGAAAATCATCTTTCAATCCTCCGCCTTTCCCGGTGCCTTTACCCTTACTGCCTTTTCCAGAAGCCGTGGCGTCTGATACTTCGATGAAGATAACTCGAGGAGGCGGATCACTAAGAGCTGTGTACAACACATACGCGTCTTTGCCTGTTTCAGCAAAGTTGACTTCCTCTTTGCGACATTTTCCTGCATGGTTATCAGCACTGCATGTTGGGAGCAGTATCATGAAGCGGATGTCTTTTTCTCGCGTTTGAAACGAAGCGTAGACATGTGCAGTGGCTCCTGCCTTTTGAGGGCTCGTTGGTTTACATTTAGGGTTGGTGCAGTTATGTACACAGCAATACTCTTCAGTGACAGGTTTCCCTTTAGTGCACTTTTTCCACAACTCACCGGCAGCACTTGCCTCTAGGGGATGCCCTCCAACTGAAGCCACTGTTTTAGGTTTATCACCGGTTGTCAACACCGCATGAGTAAAGCCTAATGACCAACCAAGTTTTAAGCGATACATTGCGTTACCAGCATCTTGGAAGGCTGATCGAAACGAATCTGGATCGATTCCAAAGTCTTTGTAAAATTTCGTTGGGAGAGTTGACGCATCACTCATGTTTCTCTGTATATCTCTGGTCCTGATGGAAGGATAGTCGAAGAGCTGTGTCTTTACCCAACCAGTTTTACTGCTTAAATATCTGTTAGCTGACTAGGCTGAGGTATTGATTGCAAATTTCGAAATGTTCCGCAATTTGATATTCTTTGTGACACTGAGTAGTAATGACCTCCGAAACCTCTATAGTACTCAAAAATTTTCAACTTCCGGCCTTATCATGGTGTGTTTGGATTTTAAATAACTCTCCGCTACCTTGTTTCACCCTTGGTAATAGGCTTCTATCGCTGAATGTGCTATGATGTTGCGTTTTTCACTTAATATTTCAAGCGCTGCAGAGCATTACATCATCATGTTCTTAGTTACCAGTTTCCTACTACAAAATGGTCAGATACTCTCATCAATCATTGGGAAACCAACAAAAGACAGAAACTCGTGCACTTAACTTACGTCATGTTCTTGATGTGACAATACAGTTTATGGAATAGAAGTTCTATCACAGTTATATTCCTTCTATTGCTCAAAATGATAAACAGGAAGATTAAACTGGGTGATGGAATTTACATCTGCTCCCCTGGTCTTTGTTTCCGTGAAGTACACTCAGCGGAAGAATTTACATCCGCTTATTATGTATTGTGACGCTATTCCAGCTTGATTTGTCCTCATTCCGCGTTCTGTTTTTATTTTATCGGTGGAGATACTAATAGACTAATCAACAGCCGGTTTTATCAAAGGAATTCACATCCTGTTATTGAATGGTAATGGCTAAGTGACTTAATTTCAATTTCTTTTGATACTCAGCTGAGGTCTCCTTGCTGTTTACCATCAATTTCATTGGCGGCTTCTAGTAATAAGTTGGTGTTATGCAGTCAAACCTCCACTGAGTGACCCTCTGTCAAGCGGCCAGCCTTTGTGAATTGGCCACTTTTAATCCTCTTCAGTTGTAGTCACATATACAAGTGTCCTACACGGTTAGGCAACCATGTGGTCACGTACTGATCGAGCTATGTAGCTATCTTGTCATGTCGTAACGATTTATACAGTTAGCGGCCAGCCCAGAAGGGACTGACATGTAATCGCGTACAACTGTAGCCCTATAGTATCATCAAGTCGCTTAGCCACTGAAATCTAGCAGCAATTTAGTTGCTTCTTATCAGTCCGCGTATCAAAGAGTCCCAGAAAAAACAAAGCCATGCACCTTACCACAAATAAGCTGGCTTTTATCAAGTCTGGAAGTTCGTTAATTTGGTATAAAATATATTTGCTTCCGTTTTGAAGAAGAATTAACGTTTTTTCTTTTAAATTAAAACCCGCATTTGTAAAGAGCTACACACACAAGACCTAATCACATCAGTGACACACTCGGCTGCGCCTCGTGTGCCACTTTTTTGTTCTTACCACATTTTGACGTCATCTGTGATCTATTACTGAACAGACACACGGCAACTTGGAATCCATTTGTTAAATAGAAGCTGAAACGGCATAAGGCAATGAGACAAGAAACTTCGACAGCAATCATTAACCATCGAGCTACAATCTTGTCGGCAAAGTGTCGAAAAGTGGCTCACGACATGGGCTATTTGGATGCGTGCCTTCAACACTTCACGCTTTTCGTTTTCTAATAACACGCCAAGCAGGTGTGTACACTTATCATGACAAATATTGCTGTTTGAAAAACTCATTGCTCGTAGATTATACAATGCTAAGGCAAACGAGAGTTTTTACAAAGGAAATTTTAGTAAAAGGAAAGAAAACACTCCTTCCAAGCATTCCATTTCTTAAAGCGGTGCATCTTGCGGTCAGCCTAATAAAAGCTTGTTATCAATAAGTCTTGTGTGTGTAGCTCTTTACAAATGCGGGTTTTAATTTAAAAGAAAAACGTTAATTCCACTTGAAAAACGGAAGCAAATATATTTTATACCAAATTAAACACATCACACATCACACGTTTTCTAATAACACGCCAAGCAGGTGTGTACACTTATCAAGACAAATATTCCTGTTGGAAAAACCCACTGTTCGTAGATTATGCAATAAGTAGGAGCCGAGATAAAAAAATGAAAACTTACAAAAAAATACCCCGCAAACTTTCTACATTATAAACACTGATTAGGAAAGCTGACTATGTTTTATGCCTCCATTTTTGTAGCAGTCAATGGATGAAAAGAGACAACTTACAAACACTAATCTTATTAAAAATCATATGAATTGTTTATACTTAGCCGTATGTTTGCAAAAGACACATTTCTAATTTAACGTAATTAGCCATGCAAAATTTGGGGTAGAAAAACTGGTTTGAAACACTAACTTTAGCATTCAACCTCACAGTGCTTTGGAGAACCACCACTATGAGTGTCTTCAGCTTCAATAAGATCGTTCTTTTCGAAGTTATTCTTCTAATTGGTAAGTACACAGTTCTAGGCTCTGGCCGAGTGTAAACCAAGGATTTTTAAACGTATTCTCCATTAGTTTTTACATTCGCCCAAGACGACCTACAATGTTGATGACACGAATTTTAAAAAATAAATCAAAGAGAAAAAAGCTGTAGTAAATTCTATGTATCTGAATAACCGATTATTATTATCCGGGGAGGCAACGACTCCTGTGCCGCTATGCCATCCATAGAAAAAAAGAGGACCTGATAGCAGGTTATTAGTGTTACCTAGTTGAGCAAGTAATCAGTTGAAACGTCCAAAAAACTAGTATTTCAAAACAGGTCAATCTAGATACAATATTTCCTTAGAGCTGTTTTATTCCCATGCTCTATTACTCCAGCCTTAGGATGCGGCGCCTAGGTATTTTAATTGTGGTTCCAACCTTTTACAATTACCTTTACCTTTCATTCATGAAAGTGTTTAAGCTTTCTGTAAAGGAAGGGCAGAAATTTCAAAAACGCCTGAAGGATAAGAAAAGCGAGTCACTGAGGGAAAAACTTGCCTGGTCAATACCTTACTTTAGGACTTACTTTGGGGGATGTTTAGACTCCGCCTTCAGGCCCAACCCTTAAGTTTTTTGAGGTACTGCTTTTATGCACCCTTAATTGCAAGATGGTACCTATTTCATGAACCTGATCAATATCATAGTATACCTTCTGAAAACCCTATGAAATGGAAATAATTGCGCCCTGAACCCTTGCTTACAGCGCTGATTCTTGGGCTGAGGTAGTTAAGACATACGTTGGTGTTAATGACCAAACTTATATTCTTTCTGCTTTTTGTTTGATATTCTTCACAGGATTTGTCCATGGAGGTATGTATAAACATGTTAAGAATAATCATGGAGACAGGAATTATTAGAGTTTACTTATAGAGAGTTTGTAAAGAAACAATGTTTATGAATAAAAATCAAATTAACATTCTCAGAGGGGATTTGTTTTCCAACGATTAATTTCCGTAAAGAAAATAATTATATTTGGAAATAAACAGCGAGTGATGATGAAAAAGCAACGCTCTCTTTGATCTTTTCTTATCCAAAATGTTGATCGGATATCGATAAAGAAAGCAATGGGACGACTATCAGTTGTTATAACCACTCCTTATAAAAGTCAACTTTGGTTTTAAATTTTCTGCTCTGTGCTCTTTAACAACACAATTTGCAATTTCAGACTGCAACTCACCTCTTGGTTTACAAAGCGAGGATATTCCCAATTCAGACATCACCGCCTCCTCCGAGGTAAGCAACTTACCTAAATTTGTTGTATTGAACTATCGAAAATTGCTACATTTTCTTTCCTGATATGCTGTGGTAGAGGTTACTCAAGGCACATGTCTAAAAATTGCGACGAGCCAATTAGGAGACCACAAGCTGAACCCTTCTTATTTTACATGAATGGTTTGCGCCAAAATTTGATTCAGCCGATGTATAGAGAATCGCCCATTGATTTTTCTCCTATTCCAGACCATCTGATTATTTTGGTACCATGACTTGGCCTGAAATGTTGCTAGGAAGCTGAAACATCTGGAGGCATCATGATGAAAGCAAATGAGATTTGCGTATTAGTTTTCCTCCTATTCCAGACCATTTGATAATTTTGAGTACCGTGACTTGGTCTGAAATGTTGCAATCAAGCAAGGAAGCTAAAACATTTATTTGTTTGTTTGCCAATTAATCGACCAGATATCTTAAATTGGAGTTTCTTTACAATTTTTGATCTTATTGGAATGAAATTTTAAATGACTGGTGAGATTGCGAAGGCCCTCTTACGATTTAAAATGGAGATACATTACTGTGACACCATAGATTCCTGAGAGTAAGATAGGACAGAAGAAATGAGGAAAAAATCGAATCTAGAACGGCTACCCCTATAAATTCATTCCAGTTATATCATTTTCAGAGTTTATCGATCCAAAATCGAGAAGCATCGTACTTACTTAATCATGATCTTCCTTTCTCGTTGGAATATATATCATATAATAATTTCGTTTACAGTGGGCTGCAAACCATGGGCCCAGCAATGCAAGGCTCAATCGTCCAGCTGGTGGAGGTAGAACTGGAGCCTGGTCTGCCAGAGCAAATAATATGGGACAGTGGATACAGGTGAACCTTCGTCAACTAACTCGAGTCACTAAGGTGGCAATTCAAGGAAGACAAGACCATCCACAATGGGTTACTGCATTTAAAATATCTTACAGTCTGGATGGAAAACACTTTGAATATCAACAAAAGGTATTTTTTTCAATCGAAATTTTTAATGAATTCATAACACGTTGAATAATTAGAATACTCCAGAGGTTGAAGTAGTTTGAAAGTTGAAGATGAAGTAGAAGCCATGGCGTTTAAGATGCTGAATTGCGAGGGTATTAAGCTGTTGACCCCTCTATTTACCACTGTAATAAATATTATAAAAATATTATAAAAACAATACCATTTTACGGAAACTGTTCGATAAAAAATTAACTTGGTTGGGATTTTCGCTCTTTTTAATATCAATCTGGTTTCCGTCTAGATATACTACGGAAACAATGACAGAAACAGCATTGTTTTTAACATTTTAATGGCACCGATCGAGGCTCGCTTCGTTCGTCTACATCCATACGCATGGCATGGACATATCTCTTTGAGGATGGAATTTTATGGTTGCAGCTTAAAGCCAGGTAAAAAAGCTAATACAAAGATCTTATTAAATAGGTTCCGTTTCGAGTGTCATCATGGCGACAATATTTGAACTCAAATGTGTTAACTGCATGAAGGACAGATGTTTTCCCACTCGAACAGTAAATATTTCTGAGATAAGCGCCTTTATTGTCCTCTCCGGAAGATTTACCCACGCAAGCAAACTAGTAATTTTGTAAAGGACAAATTAAGTTAAGATGTTTACATATTGTTTTCAACAGAGAGTGCTTCACTGTTTTATTTAACCTTTTAACTCCTGAGAGAGGCTGGTCTCTAATTTCTTTTTACAGTTTTACCCTTAATTAAATGTAAAGGTCACGGGAAAAAAGGAAATGATCACCAATACATAATTTTCGAACAAATTCTTCTTGTCAGTAACATAGGAAATGTAAAGAGAATGATGCGAAGGGTATAAACAGTAATGGTAACCTGGAAATAGATAATGACGATACCTATTTTTTCGATAGAGTGCGCTCGCCCCTTGGGCTTGGAGAACTACCGGATTCCTGATTCAGCCATTGCATCTTCTTCGGAGGTAAGCCTTCTCCAGATTCCTCAGCGAGAATTTCAATCTGTCGTAGTATTCACGTGTATCCTCTCTTTGTCTCTTATCATTTTATTTTGATTAACTCTCGCTTTATTTTCTCAAGTTTCATTTTTTAAAATTTTGACATCGTTGATGTAGATTTAGTCTTGAACATATCAGGTTTATCCATTAAACGATGATCTCAAAACATTGCAATATTCATATCAGCCAAAAAAAGTTAGTCCAGTTTATACTATCAATCCTAACAAATCTACTAATTCTTTGTATTAAGTGGGACTCCAACCATGGACCTACCAATGCCAGACTTAACAGACCTAGTGGTGGCGGGAAGACTGGTGCCTGGTCAGCCAAGAGAAACGATAGAAACCAGTGGATTCAAGTGACATTTCCCGAGATCACTAAAGTGACAAGAGTTGGAATCCAAGGCAGATATGATTACAATCAGTGGGTTACCAAGTTCAAAGTGTCTTATAGTCTTGATGGTATTGACTTCGTTATCCTCGGCAAGGTGAGTTAAATGTCAGCCAATGGTTAGTCTGGATAGTATTGATTTTTCTAGCTAAGATGAGGTGAGGTGAAAAATGTCAGGGTTGTACGAGTTTTGCCAAAATCCTTCACCTTTTGGATTTATTACCTTGTGCATAGCAGTAACACTAGCAGCACGTTGATTATTTTCCACCCTTAGAATTCATTGTTTAAATAGCCTTATCTCTTAACTTTTTCCTTGTTTTTACACGTCAATTTTCATAGATATACAACGGTAACAGCAACCGTAACAGCATTGTGGTCAACGATTTAGGGGCACCCATTCAAGCTCGTGTAGTACGCATCAATCCAGTCGAATGGTATGGACACATATCCCTGAGGATGGAGCTGTACGGCTGTCGTTTGTCATCAGGTGAGAGTATTTAGTGGAGTTTCTGACAAAATTAATCTTGTATGGTAGATCCAGAGTGAAAGAGAAATGAAGCAACAATGAAATTTGTATATGAATATCACAGGAAGAACAATCTTTCTTCTATGGAATCTGGAGTTCGACCCTCCCTCTGATAGATATCTCTTCATCGCCCTCAAACCGGAGGCTTAAAGTGTAAATCGAGTGTAAAACTCATACATTTAAGTTTTATCTAGCCAGGTGTGACCTAAGCTTCTCAATTTCTAAGGGAAAATGTGATGTATCATTATAGAATGCGCAACCCCCTTGGGAATGGAGAACAGGGTTATCCCCAATTACGCCATAACAGCTTCCTCAGAGGTAAGAATTATCTTTACTTGAGCTTAACCTTATTAATTTAACCTTAAGGTTAAATTAATAAGGTTAAACGGACTCCACACGTGTGAGACCTCTTGTTTAGTTTTTATTTATCCTTTTTTTGTTAGTTTTCTTGCTTTTATTAACTATCGTTCCTCTCAGTATTTACGGCTCTAAACATCCTTATTAATGAACAATTACATTTTTGTTGTTAGAGCTTCCCCTGTGATAAGTCTTGCTAATTGCAATCCCAAGTAAAACTAGAACTAGTCGCGACCTCATCACTCGCATTTTCCCGCGCGCAAGGTCTTCTCCCCATCGGTTGAATTTAACTTTTTTACGAACTGCATATCTGGTCACTATCTAGTTTTTGGTGCTATGACTGGAAATTAAACCGTACAGTTTTGTCTAATATAACTATTTCACTGTTAAGCTCTTTCCATTTTTTACATATCACAATGGTATCATGTTGCAAAAACATTACTTATTAACAGTGGGCAGCAAATCATGGTGCGTCTAACGCAAGACTGCATCGCCCAGCAGGAGGTGGAAGGACTGGTGCCTGGTCTGCCAAGACAAACGACAAATCACAATGGATTCAGGTGGATCTTCGCGGAAAATTCAAAGTGACCAAGATATTAACACAAGGAAGGCATGATTATGCGCAATGGGTGACCCAGTACAAGGTGTCCTACAGCTCAGATGGGGTGCATTTCAGTGATCAAAATAAAGTAGGTTCAAAACTTTCCATTTTTACAGTTTTTTTCATCGTATGTGCAGGGCTGATAATGTATGCAATACCATTGAGGTTAAAAAGAGTGCTTTATCCACTGCTTAGCCATTATTTTAATATGTAAGAAAAGGAATACTCAACTCGGTCATATTGATTTGAATATAGAGGTATTAGATTTAAAAGCAGTAATCTTATTACGTCCTTTTGTAGGAAAATGCTCTTTTAACCAAAAGTCTGCCTCCTCTTTTGCATCTTTTTGCAAGGTGTATCAAGCCAACAAAGATCAAAACACCGTGGTAGTGAACACTTTAGAGTACCCGATAGAGGCGCGCTTTATACGTCTCAACCCTAAACAGTGGTTTGGTCACATCTCTTTGCGAATGGAGCTTTATGGTTGCAGTTTGAATTCAGGTTTATCATTAGTTTTGTTAATTCTCTTGTAGAAAATAAATGTCACATTTTAAGCTTTTGTAGGTAAAGGCTCAAACAACTTTGATAGTGACAGTTTTGTACAGACAACTCCTTTAAAATATCCATTTTCAAGTAAATTTTGCAGCATCTACAATGGTTCAACTTTTATCGAGTTTTGTTGCAGAAAATCTCCCCGTCAACGATATGCAAAATTTTCCATTTGTTTAAAAGTTTTAACTTACAGACTGTCAGAATATGCATGCTGCCAGTTACAGAATCAGTTTTACAGAACAAAATCTTAATACATTAATTAAAAATACGTTCTTGCAATGGGCAATGAAATACGCGCGGACTTTTTACGGCAGGTGTAACAACTTATTACGGACTTCTGCACGAACCCACAAATTGGAAATGAAAGGTTTTCGGTACAATTTTGTACTTTTCGGGGTGCTTACAGTCATTTCACATCTCATACAGAGCAGTGATCTCCTCGGCCCATTATGGAAAGGAAAAATGTTTGCAAATATACAAATTTAAAAGAATTCGTGAAGCTTTTTTGGTTCTGCATCTCTCCCATCAGCAACAAAGATCGAGGCCGCGCGAAACAACATGTCCCCTGAGGGACCTGGTACAGGGTTGGCTTATCCCAGCATTCATTTGGAGCAGTATTAGGACAGTTGCATATTAATATAGTACATGAATGTTAAGCGAGTTAGGAGGGTTGATTACCGTGAGTTAGTTGACTCAATAAAAACATAACATTGCCCTACTTTACGCTTTAGTTGAAACCATCTGCCTTTCCCATAATGTTTTGCCTTCTTTGGTAACAGAATGCATGTCTCCCATGGGAATGGAAAATAAATTTCTTCCAAACTACGCAATTACAGCCTCTTCTGAGGTAAGTTAATCGTTACATAGAGTCTCTGCTTTAGTTTTGAGGCCAGTATTACTTGTGGGAAAAACATAACAAATGCTAACTGTTAGTTAGCAAACAGACCGTGTTTGTGCTGCGAAATATCTCATTAAATTGAAGAGCGTCATAGATTGAATTACGCTCTTTATATGCATGGAATGTATTTTATACCGAGACAGGGCTACGACTAAGCTCATCCTTGCCAGTTAGCTCATTTAGGTGAGCTATCCTCGACAAATTATAATAAGCAATAAATTGCTTAGTGATCTAAAAAAATTAAGAACAGACATGAGCTAACAATTCGCGATCCATTCAGGTAACCTTGAGTTTTGTTGAGTTGTTTTGCGGTCAGGAGTGGGCAACCTCTTGCCGGACGAACGTAGTGTGGAAAAAAACGTGATCAATCTTTCAGTCAGTAGCTAAAATTTCAGATACAGAGGTCTTGCAACTCAAAGGCACTAACTCTACCAGGAATTCAACAAAGCCAGCTGAACAGATGGTCCGTTGTGCTAAATGGGGTCACTGTGGATAAGTATCTATTTAGACTTCAAGTCTGAGGTATTTGTATCTTATTTCCCTCAGTGGGCGTCAAATCATGGAGCTTCAAACGCAAGGCTGTATCATATAGCAGGCGGTGGAAGGACTGGTGCATGGTCTGCAAGAACAAATGACAAATCACAGTGGATTCAGGTGGATCTTGGAACAGTCAAAAGAGTGACGCAAATTGCCAGTCAAGGCCGATCAGATTATGCTCAGTGGGTTACAAGATACAGAGTGTCTTACAGCTCTTTTGGAAAAGTTTTCCACATCCAAGATCATGTGAGATAGTGATAATTAGATTGTTGTGTGGTATTTGTTGGGAGTTCCATCATACCCTCAGAATTAAGAGGTTGTTCTTTAGTGAATATACACTTTTTTCACATATGGGGTTTGTCTAACGTTCACTTCAGAGAGAATTTTGCGCCAGCTTGAGCAATAACTAGAAATGATGTGCTATCCGGAAAGGCTCACATTGTTTAAATTTGTTCCCCTTTTCAGTTTTAACATACATGTGCAATACTTTTGCATAACTATTTTAGGTTTACCAAGCCAACAGTGACCAACATAGCGTTGTTGTAAATACTCTTGTCAAACCAATTGAGGCTCGTTTCTTCAGGATAAAAGTTGAAGGATGGCATGGTCACATTTCCATGAGGTTTGAACTGTATGGATGTCATGTTCATTCAGGTTAGCAAGGAGTCTTACATTTGGAAGTTCTCCCTGCAAAATGCACTTTCCAACGTTACACTGTTCGTGATAAATAATAGTTGAACAAAATAAGTTACTAAAGGAAAACTACATCATTTTGAGTGAGCTGCACAAGTGTTATTGTTTTAAAGCTAACACGTTAGTTTTTGGACCAAAGGACCTTTCTAGGAAAATATTGCTGTCTGCGCCATTATATGAAACATAGAATAAAAAAGATGATAAGTTTTGAGCTCGGTAAATAAATAGCGAAAAATTCTTTTCGCCTTGTCACAAGCGTGGGACAGATAAAAAAAAATAAAACAGCTCTGTGTCCCCATGAGGAATCCGCGCCCCGGTGCTGTACTATCGAGCCAAAGAGGCTCTATGGTGAGCGAGGCCCGTTACGAGTATATGAAACAAATCAAGATCACCTATGTTAATAGGCTTCACCCCATGATCTCTTGTACACGACTGCCAAACTCAGGTCACCTACATGTAAGGCATCTAGATTCTCCAGAATTGCTTGGAAATTATTTCATTGTTAGGGAAACTATCTCTAATTTTCACGCTTTAGAGATGGAGGCAGACCGATTGATTGGAGAGCTACGCAACAAATTATAATTTTTTCCACTTGAGGATTTTTTTAACAAACGACCACTTAGTATCATCTAATATGTCCCGTGCGTTGCTAACACTTGTCTAAAGATTCCCTCTGAATATAAACTCCTACTGTAATGGGCTTTTACTAACATTGCATTTTCGTTTATTTTTAGCATGTGTGTCACCCCTTGGACTAACCAGTAAGAAATTACCAAACTCGGCATTAACTGCCTCTTCTGAGGTAAGAGAGTTATTTTTAGCATATGCACACTGTATGCGCATACATATTCATAAGCGCGTGAAAAAGCTATGCAAAAAAGCTAGCTTTTTTTCATTCGATACAATTTCTCCATCACTTCCATGTTCATACACGAAACACCAATCATTCAAATACTTTCCCATAACCACTTGATTTATATTTATCGATAAGTACATTGATATTCATTTATATTTATTGATAACCACATAACCACAAGGATCTTCAATATGTACATGTACTTTACTGCTTTATTCATTTTTAAGGAAATTGTTTCAGAGCAAATTTTTTGTACCATATGTTGTCATAGCTATACAGAAATTGGATCTCTTTTCTTTTGCAAGTGGGCGGGAAACCATGGGGCCAGCAATGCAAGGCTCTACCATGTTTCAGGTGGCGGGAGGACTGGAGCGTGGTCTGCTAAATTCAATAACAAGGGTCAGTGGTTAGAAGTTGATCTTGGTGAGACGACCAAAGTTACAATGGTAGTAACACAGGGACGGTACGACTATGATCAGTGGGTGAAAAGTTACAAAGTGGCCCACAGTAAATATGGCGATCATTTTGAATTCCAAAACAAGGTAAGACGAATAACGAGTACATTTCTAAAGAAACTGTGGTGCTGCGCCGGCGAGAGAGTACAGCAGGGTAATCAAGTATTATAAACTGAGTTGATAACGTAAATTGACCACCGTTAAGAGTTTCAAAGCCGACGTTTCGAGCGTTAGCTCTTCGTTAGACCAATGAAAAGGGGCTAACGCTTGAAACGTTAGCTTTCAAACTCTTTACGGTGGCCAATTTAATTTATCAACACAGTTTATAATACTAAACAACCTTGTTTAGACGAACAACATTTGCTAGTTTTGCTTCCATGTTATAACCTGGATTAATTATTTAAAACTGCATTGAAGTTAGGCTTGTATCGCCTAGCTAAACAAAGAGTTCTCCATAGCTTGGTCAACGTGGTTATACTCCTGACACCACTAATCTCTACCTGCGTTGTGTACCTGGTCCTGTAAAATCGTTCGTGATTTCAGGCCTATCGAAAAAAATCTTATTCCAAACGACTATTTCATAATATTGATTAAAATTAGTGTTTAACCAGACTTTTCACCGCTACTCTGATGCCAGCAGTAAAAATTATTCCAAGTGTATAAAATAAGTCACTAATCTTGTCGCCTAACTTCAATAAGAATTAAAGGAAGGACATAGGAAATGGTATGCCTGAGGCCAGCTTGAGAAACACATCTCATATGTGATTCACTTCTCATCTATTGGTTAACAGTAGATTCAAACATGTGCCTTCGCTTTTGGCTTATTTTCAGGTATATCAAGCTAACGGAGATAGGAATGGTGTAATCATTAATAGGTTGATCCAACCAATCGAAGCCCGTTTCGTCCGTATTTATCCAGAGACTTGGCACGGCCACATATCTATGAGAGTGGAATTGCATGGCTGCGAAATCCGGTCTGGTAAGGTCATCTTGTTTAAAATGGGCCTACGTTTACCAAATTAATGCCAAAACAAACGATTATTAGAGGTCCAGGTGCCTTTTCTATTAGCAAACAATGTAAACGTCATTGAATGATTCTAGATCAAGTCAGAACCGAAATGTAATTGATGGAAAGCTTTCTGCCTAAAAGATTTATTATCAGATAGCTCTGAATTTCTAAGTCTTTGCCACCCCAGGTAGGGTACCCCAATATAAAATTTTCTTACCCAGAGCTTTAGGCGATAGAATCACTCGTCTGGTTTTAAAATCAAAGTGCGGCTTAAAAAAAAAAAAAAAAGTACTCATCGTGCTTCCCATTTTCGTTTCTTTCTCCTTTAACATCCTTATTAGGTTGTAATCTTCCCCTGGGAATGGAAAACTACCATATACCTGACTCAGCCATAGCAGCCTCTTCACGGGTAGGTTATCTCGGTATAATTTTGTTTTTAAGACTCTAGAAAATGTATTTTTCCCTTAATTTTACAGAAAAATACAAAGTTTGTAATGACCAGAACTTGTTTGAAGATGTTGCTTCCCTTATGAAAGTTCTTTGAGCCAGTTTTTGTATCGTGCAAAACTGTTCTGAAATTAAAGGAGACCAAAAAAAGGTATACGCTCCATAGAGCAGAAGAAAGAAATACACCGGAAAAAAACCGAGAAGGAAACAGAGCAATTTCAATACTGTTATCATTAGTCCTATGAAAATACTAGTAATCAACCGTCTTACTTCAAAACTTAAATCATTGATAAAACTTTTTTTCTAAACTAGTGGGATCCAAACCACGGACCAAACAATGCCAGAATCTACCACATGGCTGGGGGTGGAAGAAGAGGAGCTTGGTCTGCGAAAGCAAATGACAAGGGACAATGGATTCAAGTAAATCTTAGAAAAGCTATGAAGGTGACCAAAATTGGAATGCAAGGTCGTCAGGATTACGCCCAGTGGGTCACCAAGTACAGAGTGGCTTACAGCACGGATGGTCAGCACTTTTCAGTTCAAAATCAGGTGAGCGAAAACCACCCTTTAAGCATTATTTACTTGCCACTTTTAAGCTCTTAATTAGTTTGCATTTCCTGCATTTTTTAGACGGAGGTCACGGAGTCAGGTCAGCTAAACAAATTAACGAAAATATCAACCCTGAATCAAAAATCTCTGCGATACAGGATGCGTACTTTTTTTAAATGATCACAATTAATTCGTTTTATGAAATCTTATTACAACAACCGGTGATAGTACTCTGGAAAAAGATTCAACGGCTGGTTTTATGCTAGATGACTCGAGTCCACACACGCGGATTTTCCAAAAGTAGAAAACCTGTGAAACTTTTTTTTTCTATTTTGAATGAATATATGATCTACCTCGAAACTTTGACGAAATCAGATTGATCAAAAGTCGCATTGAAGTTTCATGAGTTTCAGCAGTACCTTGGATTTGACCATGTTGAAAGTACATATATTTAATGCCAACGTAGTTTCGAGGGAAAATTCCTACTCGAGAAACAATGTGTTTTTGAAGCTGTTTGATAATCATATGCAATACCATTTCAGAAATATTCAGGAAACAGGGATCAAAATACTCTTGTTATAACTGACGTGGCCCAGTCAATTAAGGCACAGTATATCCGAATCCTTCCTCAAGAATGGCATGGACACATCTCTCTGAGGATGGAGTTGTACGGCTGCGACACTTCAGGTGATAATTCCTTAATTAGCAGCCCATTCCTTTTCTCCTCATAGCAAAACTAACAGAATTGCTTTAATTTCGTGGCAATTTAGGGGCTATCGACGGTGGTTACTCCGAATGGGAAGACTGGGGAGAATGCTCGGTGTCATGTGGAAGAGGATCACGTTCAAGGAGACGATCATGCAATAATCCTGTTCCACAGAATGGTGGTTCAGACTGCTCATCCCTGGGACCTATGGAGGAATTTGAGTCCTGTAATATGCAACCTTGCAGGGGTAAAGAATGATAAAACGAGAGGGATACAACCAATCCCTGTTTATTACAAAAAACTCTTGTTTCACAACGGAAATAAAAGTTTGTAGAATTGGCTATTGACGGTTGATTTATTTAGACACAGTAAGACGAAAAAGATATCTTCTTTGGTCTCATAATATATAAATATGTCTTTTCTTGGGGGATTTATTCCCCTTTCTCTTTTAGTTTAGGCGACGGTTTGTTCGTTTCCAAATGATTAATGAAACTCAAAACAATTCAAATTCAACTTAGTTGATAACAAGCAGTCGAACGAATACGTTCGCTGGGCTGGATTAACTTATGGCTGAAAGTGGTAATCTTCACTAGAGTAACCTATCTCACCATTGACTCAAGAAGGACCTCATCCCGAATAGTTCCGAAGCCGAACTTAACTAAGTTTTCATTTTGCCTTCTCATACGTTGGAGACATACTTTTTATCCTCACTGTTATTTTTCCCGCATGGATATGATCCTGGAGGTACACGCCTTGATTTGCAATTGGTGCAACGAAATACTCCCACAAGGGCCACAGGAAATATTCCATTACAACGTTAGGTTACCTGCGTTAGTACATGGAGGTAAAACGACCGATTTAATTCATTTTAGATTGTGACACCCCTCTGGGAATACAAAGTGGAGATATTCCAAACTCCGACATCACATCTTCTTCCGAAGTAAGTTCAACAGGTGGTGAATAGAAAAATGGATCGATATCAGTTACTGAGGCTGTAGATATTTTTTAAATATAGAAGCTTTCTGCGATTGTCTCTTAATACTTAATGATGAATGATTCGTCTTTTCTAGTAGGGAAATCGATACTAACCATTTTCATATTCCTGCTCTCCTTAGTGGGATGCAAACCACGGGCCCAGCAATGCAAGGATCAATCGTCCTGCTGGTGGAGGTAAGACTGGAGCCTGGTCTGCCAGAGCAAACGACATGAAACAGTGGATACAGGTGAACCTTCGTCAACTGACTCGTGTGACTAAGGTGGCAATTCAAGGAAGACAAGACCATCCACAATGGGTTACTGCATTTAAAATATCTTACAGTCTGAATGGAAAACATTTTAAATATCAAGAAAAGGTATCTCTCTGAATTGAAATCATAATTAATCCAAAACATGTAGGCAAGAGAATTTCATGATATCCTCCAGCATGTGGACTTCTTGAGTTTATAGATCATTTCAGAGGGCTAAATAATTTAGTATTTAAGGTACTAAATTTCTTAGGCCTTGAGCGCACAAAAAGGAATTTAGTAACCCTTGTATGTCACAGAGAGTTGCAACCCGACACTGTTCAAATTATTGCAATGAAAATCTATACTGAATAGAGAGGGAAAACCTCTTAGTTATCTTAACGATTAGCATGCAACCTATCTTGTCAATTTCGATTTATCAGCCGGATGTAGAATTGAATATGATTGGATCGGGGTGTAATATCGTCAGATCATATCATAATCAAATCCTTTGAAACACTTAATCAGTAAATACACTAAGCATAAAGGAGTAATCTAAAAAGGGTACAGCAGAACTTGATTAAACATCAGTTTTTTTGCTATTAAGCCAAACTCTCTAGAAACATATTCTTTGCTTGTATTTTTTTCTACAGATATACAGTGGAAACAATGACCAAAACAGTGTTGTCGTGAACACCTTGGTAGAACCAATCGTGGCCCGGTTCATCCGCCTTCATCCGTACGTCTGGCATAGACACATTTCGTTGAGAATGGAGCTTTACGGTTGCACACTAGGACAAGGTGATATGAAAATTGCTATCAGAGCCCCTGTTAGCCACTTGCTTTCGCTGGTTACCTTTTCGTGAAAATCTTAGCATGCTAACGTTTATTCAAACGGCAATACTCTATACACATTTCTTGCATTGTTTCCATTAAGGTAACCACCCAATTTTTCTCTATCATAAATCAGTGTAGTTAAGATTACCTGCTTGTCCACTTCTTCCTTTTTTGACTTTGTAGAATGCAAATCTCCCCTGGGTATGGAAAACTACAGGATCCCAAATTCAGCAATCACAGCCTCATCAGAGGTAAAACAACGGTTATATGTCATTGATTTTTTCATTATTAAATTACTTTTCAGAAAATTCTTTATGGATGAAAGCATTATCACGAACCGATTAGAGTCTGAATTTCTTCGTTAATGTAAATGCAGCATTAATTCAGAATTTATTGACCTTATGCAAAGCTTTCAAAGCCGTACCCTTTGCTACAATTTCCTCGGAACGTAAGTGTGAGACTAACTATATGAGTTTTATGAATGAATGTCGGACCATGTACCTACAAATTACCCCTTCAAACCGATGGAATGAATGAATAATCGAAACAAACAATCGACTGATAGGTTGGTCGATGGATCGATGGATCTATCTATCGAGTAAATGAGTGACTTGGTGGTTGGATGACTGATTGACAGAAATCGATCAATCTCTTAGTAATAAAATTTGTTTACATTATTGCTCCAAGTGGGACGCCAACCATGGACCAACTAATGCCAGACTTAACAGACCCAGTGGCAGTGGGAAAACTGGTGCCTGGTCAGCCAAGAGAAATGATGCCAACCAGTGGATTCAAGTGACGTTTTCTGAAGTCACTAAAGTGACAGGAGTTGGTATCCAGGGTAGATATGACTACAATCAGTGGGTTACCAAGTTCAAAGTGTCTTACAGTCGTGATGGTATTCACTTCGTTATCCTCAGCAAGGTGAATTATATGTCACCTAACTAAAAGAGTGGTGCTTGCCAGTTTCATTATGGCAACGCTTGAATTAAGGATCAAGAAATCTAATTACTCTAAAATTAAGACGCTATAGTCGCTCTTTTCTTCCCGTTATTACCCAGGATATTACTGGTATTATCATTATTGTTGTTATTATTGTAATTACATTTGTTATCTTCATTATAATAATTATAACTATTTATACCAATGCCTATATAGCATCTTAATAATTAAGCTATGACACAAATTGCTGTGTGACAATAGTCCATTTTACAGTTGTGTGCTTGGTTGCCAAGCCTTTGAACAGAAGTGAGGCTGAGGGTGACCTTGTTATGATACAAACCTTGCTGCTTTTGAAATGCAAATTAATTTGTTATCATGCTAACTAGATTCTGGTCTCTAACACAACAAGGTCACCTTCAGCCTCACTCCAAATCAAAGGCTTGGCAACTAAGTACACAACTGTAAAATGGCCTATTGTCATAACCTGTTAAAAATAAATCCCCGTAATGCATTTAATTATATAATCGATGTATCGATGATTAGAGCAGACATGATATGCCTAGATTTTTCAATTACCTGTTGCATGTAAATTTTCATAGATATACCAAGGAAACAACAACCGAAACGGAATCGTTTTAAACGATTTAGGAACATCAATTATAGCTCGTGTAGTTCGCATCAATCCAGTTGAATGGTATGGACACATATCCCTGAGGATGGAGCTGTACGGCTGCCGTTTACCATCAGGTGATCTTTACTTCGTTACCAACTTATAGTTACCTAGGAATTAAAACCACAGTAAGAGAGAGAGAAACGTTTAAGGGGTGGGGGTGGTTGGGGATGCTTACATGGGGGGTTGTGAATGAGGGAGCGTGTTGCCAATGCGCGGACAATTGGTTCTGATTTTACTAAGTGCAAAGTTGAATCTAAAGTGTATAACAAAATGCTGATTGGAAAAAACAAACAATAGTAACGGAACAATGTATGCAATTACAACGAAAGTTTTGAATCAACATGACAAATTTGATGACTACGAGTAGGTTGCTCCCATTGAACGTGGATAGATTCTTTGCATTGGTCTTACGTTGGAAAGTTGTAGGTGCGTGGTCTAAAATGCTAAAACACTCATCAGAACATAGAGTGCGACATTGTGGAGAATTATGTAAATGTTTGAAAATTTTGAGAGGTCCTATGACTAGAAAACTATTTTTGTGAAGTGATATCAACACTCTACATACAACCATTACTACGTTCGAAATTATAAAATTATTAACTGAGCAAATGAAAATAAATTGCCTTTCAGAATGTTCCAGACCTCTGGGTATGGAAAACCAGCTCATCCCCGACTACGCCATAACAGCATCTACTGAGGTAAGAAACTGTGCGAGAAACCTGTTTAGCTATGGTAAATTAGATTTGATTACATCATTTTAAAATCTTGATGCAGCATTCATTTATAGAAATTATCTGTAAAACAAAGTATTTTGAATTCATTGGTTTATTATAACTTAGTGGGCAGCAAATCATGGAGCCTCTAATGCAAGATTGCACCGCCCAGCAGGCGGTGGAAGGACTGGTGCCTGGTCTGCGAAGAGAAATGACAAATCACAATGGATTCAGGTGGATCTTCGTGAAAGATACAAAGTGACAAAGGTTCTAACACAGGGAAGACAGGATTATGCGCAATGGGTGACCCAATTCAAAGTTTCATATAGCGTGGACGGAACTAACTTTATATTTCAGAACAAGGTCAGTGAGTGATAACGAAGTTGAAGCCGCGGGCTTTGTTTTCCAGAGGAGGCATTGATCGTTTTACGATATATGCATTCGGTTACCTTCACTTGTTTAGGTGTACCAAGCTAACAGCAACCAGAATACAGTTGTGGTGAACGCTTTAGAGAAGCCCATACAGGCGCACTTCATACGTCTTCATCCCCAGAAGTGGTATGGTCACATATCTTTGAGGATGGAACTGTACGGCTGCAGTTTGAAAGCAGGTCAGTCTTTTACTAATTATTAGGTCATAAGGCTTCTAGGTCATCTTTATCGAATAGAAGAGGAAATTCTCTGAAGTCTATCAGCGAAAAGTATGGTACCATAATGAATATATTTACCATTCCTCAATTTTACCTCACTAAAGCAGTCTATAGAAGTTCTAGTCTTGTCTAGACTTGTGGTTGAAAATTGAGGAATTTTTCTTGAAGATTTCAGATCCGAAGAGTTTCTAACAGACTTTTAGCTGGTAAACGAGCTTGATCATAGCATAGCCTGTAGAGAAGGCGTAATTTTGGCGGGCGAGTGCTCAGTATTATCTTTGTTCTCAGATTGTACTTCGCCGATGGGAATGGAAAATAAGATGCTACCAGACTACGCAATAACAGCCTCGTCTGAGGTATTTTTATGTATCGGTTTTCTCTCATATAGTCAGTCTACGCGACATAAAGCAATTTTTGATCTGGGGTTACTTTTTGTTGTGTTTTATCTCGCTCTGTGATCGGTCAAGAAAACTAACACCGGCAACTAAAACTATCAGATTAAAATGCGAAATTGATAGCGACGTCTTCGACTCCGTTTTCATTGTCTCATTTTCAAATATCTGTTCTCTATGAATGTCTTTTACAACATTGCTTTTGATTTAGGTTTCCCTTACACTTACATGTAATTTTAATCAGAAAAAAAAACCAAAAAAAATTAAGTAGAACAGTTAATAGGAACCTTTTATTCCCAATTCAATCCACTCAATACACACAACAGGTCTTTTCTGAATAGCCCACATTAATTGCATGAATTTTATCAACTTTGACCCACCTCATTTTCACAACGCTTTCATTTTCTCTTCACAAAGTGGGCTGCAAATCATGGAGCCTCAAATGCGAGGCTGTACTTTATGGCAGGTGGAGGAAGAACTGGTGCCTGGTCTGCCAGAACAAATGCAAAATCACAGTGGATTCAGGTGGATTTTGAAAAAATGAAGAGAGTGACGCAAATTGCTAGTCAAGGCCGTTCAGACTACGCACAGTGGGTAACGAGATACAGAGTGTCTTATAGCACATTTGGAAAGACGTTTAAGTCCCACGATCATGTGAGTTACATCAAGAAAACTTCATGTAATATCATGTCCTATTCTGATACAATGGAGAGCTTTCAATTTGATTTTAATAGGTCATTGAATACCATTTTAATTCTTGGAAATTAGACTTGCTGCTTCGTGGAAGATACTATAAAACAAAGGAAATACGTAAGGAAGATTGCTTGTTTCCCTTGATTCGAACCACCTTAAGGACACAAATGTAGTAATTCTTGTTATTTTCTAATACTTTTATTATCAAAATCGTTGGTTTCAATTTGTAAGTACTCGCCCTGACCCTTCGTTCAATACCAAGCGTAAAGTAATCCCTAAATTAAAATTTTTGGCTAAGGAACGAGAAGCAAGCGATGAGAGTCAAACGCCAATGCAGAACTTATCATTGATATAATTATCATTATTATTTCAATGACTCTAAGAGTAATGAGCAAAATTGTTCCAGTGATAACAGAGTTGCTTGTGCTCTGATTGGTCGAGGTTTTCGTCATATCGCGCTATAATTATCTTCCTCAAGGTGATTATAGCATCAGCACGAAATTTCAAAATAGCAGCTTTGCGTTTTGTCAGGCCACCGAGGAAGTGACAAACGGAATAGAAGTAAAATCTAAGTTTGGTTTTACAGTTTTCAAAATAAAGATGTCAAGTTTTTGCTGATTGAAATAAATAAACCTGTTAAATTCTAGGGGAGAGTGGAGCTTATCTCTATACGAGTAATCATACAACTTTGATAGAATGATTACAAAAAACAAAGCGAATTTACAACAGGATTCTAAAGCACGTAAGAAATTATATTAAAACAATTACTAATCTCAGGCTCAGTGAATATTGCGGAATAATTCCCTCGATTTTGTCTCGGGGATTATTCAACAATATTTTCTTCGCCTTCGGCGAATACATGTTAAACATTATTCTTAAAAAATAAATCTTAATTCATTCTTAGATCGCTCTTGATTTCGGAAATCCCACAATTGCTTAGAAATGGGCGATTCTGTGCTTCGAATCTCGCATGTGCTGGGTAACCTGCATGAAATTAAAAAGGGAGTGTATTCATAATACCAACAGCAACTAGCACGCTAGCTCGTGATCGTTTACCCGACGGGCCATATTTGATTTGGAAGTTAGGTTAGACACCCCACCCCTCTCTTTATTTTGACCGTCAACTGACCCCCTTGGTACAGATTTATTTTTCTCCTCAACCTTTCGCTGCCATTAAAATCAAGTGGCGGCCATTATTTTTTGTCAAGAAAATACTGAGCACTCGCTCGCCAAACCACCTGCTTTGCAGGCTACTAAAACCCGTAAGATATATATGCAAAGATACTCTTTTTGTTCTTAAGAAGAAATATTTTGCGAGCAAGTTCAACTTTATTTGTGGAACATGGTTCACGATAGGTAATTCAGCTAAATGCGCACTTGGCTTTAAACTGTCTTCCTGAAAATTTTTTTTTTAAACTTGTTTCCAGGTTTACTCAGCTAACAGCGATCAACACAGTGTTGTTGTCAATACCCTCGTCAAACCCACTGAAGCTCGTTTTTTCAGGATAAATGTTGAGGGATGGCATGGCCACATTTCAATGCGGTTTGAACTGTATGGATGCGATGTTTTTGAAGGTAAAGTTTGATGTTTTTATTCAATTTATTCTTCGTTTGTTTGTTCGTTCAGGCATTTTGGCCATTGCAAATGTTGGGCGCAATTGTTACTATTATTATTATTATTATTTTAGCTAATATTTCAACTGTGATGGGTACGCTGATGGTAAACGTACCAGGCTATAGCTGTTATTCATGACTTTTCATCCTGTGATTATGAGATAAATGCCGAGTCGTGTTGATGATGTTTTCCTATGGAGCTTGTGAGCATACGCAAACCATGGGCAAGAACACATTTAATTTTTAATTAATGAGTAACGTAACGTTGCCACATTCTGTTTAAAATACAACAGAGCAATGCATGATACATAGATGCTTATATGTTTTAGCATGTGTGTCGCCGCTCGGACTAACCAATAAGAAATTACCTAACTCGGCACTAACTGCGTCTTCTGAGGTAAGAAATATCCTTACAGTTCTTCTTCTCTACCAAACGATTACAATTGAGTGATTGGGTAATTTTGTCGTCGTTGTCATGCAGAGATGACAGCGATCTACGTAGTGTGATGCAGAAGTAATACGCTCATTCCGTTATGTTGTCAGTGGGATAGAAACCATGGACCCAGCAATGCAAGACTCTATCGTGTGTCAGGTGGTGGAAGGAGTGGAGCCTGGTCTGCTAAACTGAACAATAAAGGTCAGTGGTTGGAAGCAGATCTTGGTGAAACGACAGCTGTCGCCATGGTGGCGACTCAGGGACGATACGACTATGATCAGTGGGTAAAGAGCTTTAAAGTGGCTTACAGCAAGTACGGGAGTCATTTTGAATTTCAAAACAAGGTAACTTATGAAATAAATCGAAAAATAATTGCAAATTAATTCGATAATCATTATCGTTATCATTAACATCTGAACTAATATTATAAGAATTTTATGGTTGACAGTAAGGAGAATTAGAAATTTGATCTGGAAGTTAAAGGGCTAAGTAACATTACGAAAGGGCCTCATCTTAACCGATATTTAAGGAAGAGGACTGAAACTAAAAGAATTAAAGCAAACCTATCATTATCAATATCGCGTCTACTAGAACTACCAATTCAATTGCTATGATAACGATAATCATTATCGGTATCATTAACATCCTTTTAATAGGGGCCGTTATTGTTTACGATCTTTATTAACGATCTCCCGGGTGAAACTTTAGGCGGGGTTAGGGCAGTGTTATCCGCTGATGACACCAAGTTGTATAAAAACGTCAGCTCTGTCGGCGATTGCCTGTCTCTGGAGACCACTCTAGCAAACTTGAATGCTGGTCGAAGGTAAATAACATCAACTTCACCACCTCGAAATGTAAAACGCTTACTGTGACGCGGAAGAAAACCCCCTTGATTTACGAGTACACCGTAGTCAATACACAACTTGAGCAAGTGTCCGCGGAAAAAGAGTTACAATTATGAGTACGTTGTATTGGCACTCTCATATATACACCATCACCGCTGAAGCCAACAAGCTCCTTAGGCTCCTAAAGCGGACATTTCTCTATCTAACTGACACGTCTACCCGGCGCACGCTATACTTATCACCAGTCAAGTCACAACTCTGCCACGCTACTCAAGTCTGGTCGCCTGCTCAGGTTTCCTTGAAGGCACAAGTCGAGCGAGTGCAGCGGCGCTACCAGATGGACCTTACAAAACCGGATTGGCGAGATGTCCTTCAGACTCATTACCCTGGACTTACTCCCTCTTACCTATGACAGAGAACTGAAAGACTTGGTATTCCTTAATAAGTGGTTATTTAATCATACTCACCTTGATGTACATAGTTTCACCAAATTTATTACTCACGGCCCTACCAAACTTAATAACTTCTTTAATTCAAAAACACTAATCTGTAAAACGAGCGCTTTTCAGGCCTCCTACTTTAATCGCATTTTAAAACTTTGAAATTACTCTTGTTTTGTTGCTCCCTCTTCGCTTTCCTTCCAGCTTTTCGTTAAACAAACACTTTTTGACCGCCTGAGAACGTCCTTTGACATTGATTAGCCCTGCACGTGGACACTAGTTGGAACTTGCTCGTGCCACAAGCTACAGGTGCTGCTGACACCACAAAAACTCGTTGTGATTTAGATTTCTCGTGTTTTATTTTATTTTAACGATGCCTCGCATGGGACGCCAGTCCCGGTCGCACCTGCCCTTTCGAGTTAGAATTACTTTTGTTCCTATCTTCATTTATCTTTGTCTCTATATGATATGTTTTTGTAGTTAGTACTATGTTATAAACCCAATAAAGTTGTAAAAAATATATATTGTCATCTTTATTACTTCCTCCGTCTAACGATAGCCACTACTCAATAATTAGCAAGGTTACAGTTCTTGATTGAAATCCAAAATATAAGGTAAAACATCGTAATCGTTAAGTGCCATTTCATTTTAAGGATGTTGTGTTTTGCAGGTGTATGATGCAAATACCGACAGAAACAGTGTAATCGTCAATGAATTGATTCGACCAATCAAGGCGCGTTTCGTTCGCATATATCCTGTGTCTTGGCATGGGCACATGTCTATGAGAATGGAATTTTATGGCTGTGAGATCCATACAGGTAACTGCAAATCGCTTAATCTGGGTGGTTTCTTCTAATAAATAAAATGTTGCCAAATCCTTCAAAACGTATTGAACATAAATGGCGATCGTATCAGCACTCAGCAGAGTATCCAGGGGACTTCGCTATTCAAGAGGAGGCTTCAGGAGTGAAAAAAAGGTTTCCTTGAATTTCCTTGTCCCTGCAATGAAAATAAACGATGTAGCGGTGTACAAAAAATTTATATTTCACTGAGATCAATATTGTTGCCCCTTTGTCAGAGGAACGTGTTGCCGGAATGATAGGCGTCCCACGCGGGAGAGAATTTTCGCAGTCATCTTCCATGAGGGGACACCTCTATTTATGGGTCCCTTGTACTCGTCCTGAGGGAGTGCGAGGGTTCCTCAGCAAACGTTTGCCATTGTCTCCATTTAGATAGATAAATACGTCACTCATTTACGTTATTAAGATATATTTGATAGCAATAAATGCATAAAAATCTTAGAAAGATTGTTGCGTCGATGCCGAAAGAGGTTTGCGACAGAATTCACCTACGTAGGTCAGAGAGGCCGCTGTTGTTGATAACCTGATCATATTTAATTAATTAAACGCATTTTAAAAGTTAACTTGATGTTTTTATCTTATTAGAATGTTCGTTGCCCTTGGGATTGGAGAATAACTACTTACCAGATTCAGCAATAACTGCTTCGTCAGTGGTAGGTTGACCTAAAGTTATAAGCTCCAGGTTAAACTAAAGGGATATAATTGGAAACTTATCTCACCGATCACGATTAGGCCTTTTTTATGAATGAGCTTCATAGAGGAAAAGTGTAAATGCTCTCATCAGTCCTCAATAATTTAAATAGCATGGTAACAATGTAATGGAAAATAGGTGTAATTTTTTTTTTAACAAATCAGTGGGATGCAAACCATGGACCAAATAATGCCAGAATATATCGCATGGCCGGAGGTGGAAGAACAGGGGCCTGGTCTGCGAAGACAAACGACAAGGGACAATGGATTCAAGTAAATCTTGGAAAAATTACCACGGTGACCAAGATAGGGATCCAGGGTCGTCAAGATCACGCTCAGTGGGTCACAAACTACAAGGTGTCGTACAGCCAGGACGGTCAACACTTTGCAATTCAGAATCAGGTGAATTGTTCTTTCATAGATATTAAACCTCATTCCCTTACACTCGACATCAAATAAGTACCAAACTATGTTACCGGAAATGAAAAGGTATTTGTGAAAGAGGTAGTCATCGACAAGAATGACTGAAGTGAAAACATTTTATTTTGAGTAGCTTTTGCCTATTACTGTTGGGAACCTGATCAGGTCAGTTTTAGTGGCATTCTTTGCCAAAAAGTTACGCCCAGGGCGCTCCTTCACATCCGACAGCACACACAGGGAGGGTAGCAAATCTTCAGGAAAAAGATTTCAGACGCGTTAAGTGCCCTTAACTGACAGACATCCTTAGTGAGAGGAGAAGAGACGCTTTCACTCTCTACTTGCCAAAGATAATAGTGCTCAAGGAAGCAGCCACCTAACCCACCAATAACAGGTCGTGTCAATAAAATTTCGTTTCGTTTAATTGCAATTTTAGGAATATGTTGGGAGTAAAGATCAGAATACCCTCGTTATCAACGACTTGATAAAATCAATCAAGGCAAAGTACGTCCGCATCCTTCCACAAGGATGGCATGGACACATCTCAATGAGAATAGAGCTCTACGGTTGTGTCTCAAGTAAGATTAAACCCTTTAACCTAAGCAGCGGATCAAAACTTATTTTAATGCTGGCATGAACTCAAAAGACATTTTGCTTTACAAAGGAACAGTTTATGGCGGATACTAGCTCTTTTGAGTTCTAGGCGGTTTGTTTATTCTTGCTTTGAGTTCTTCTCGCTTAGGGACAGTTTGGTAAATGCAGTAAGTCATATGCTAGCGCACAACGTGTCGAGCACTAAGGCGAAGAAAAGAGGATACCGCGAGAAGAACTCAAAGAAAAAAGAAACAACCCGCTTAGAGTTCAAAGGGGCTAGATGAACCAAACTAAAGCGAACTAAAGGATTGCTTTCGAACCCCAACCCTCAAGTCCTCTTATTGATTATGCTATTATAACCACAGTAATTGATGGTGGTTTTACTGAATGGAGTGAGTGGAGCGCTTGCTCGGCAAAATGCGGCTATGGAATACAAGAACGAGTGCGTACATGCACCAGCCCCCCTCCGTCAAATGGTGGAAAAGACTGTGAAGGAGCAAACAAGCAGCTTCAGACATGCACCAGCGGTGAATGCTCCGAATCTAGTAAGTGATGATTGATTTCGTTGTCATATGAAGAAAGCTTTCATTAGCGAGCTCGAGAAAAAAACAAAAAGTGAAAAATTGTATTTCTCTTCCTGTCGGAATTTTCTTTCTGATTGCCGAGTTATTTACATTAGTTTATCTGTTCAAGTTTTTTTGTACAATTTGATTTTCAGGAAATCCGTGGCAGAAATGAGTTGAACAACCATGAAGAGTACTAAACATCGACAAATGGACTGATATTACTTGTAGAACAAAAATGATGATTATCAAGAGTAAAGGGATTAGAAAATTTTAGGTTGTATCAGAATTGACAAAGATGAATAAAAAAATCTTCATGCTGCAAATTGAGTCTTACGGTTTATCAGATTTTATTGTATTTTATGGCTGGATATTTTAGGCAGAGGGGACGTGTTTTCATGCAGAGAAGACGTGTTTTAAACGTGTTTTCCGTTGTAAGGTGTACGTATTGGAAATTATACAAAGAGAATTCTTATTAACGTACCGAGAGGACGATTTTGACGGGGAGGGGAAGACTTCAATAGAAACGCATTTTTAACGCACATAGAGCCATGATGAACCAGTTAAAAACCTCGTAGGAGCCAACATATAAATAAACTGGATTTGCGTAAGATACGATCCTGGTAGATCCTGGTAGAACCATCTATTTTGTGCGGTGTAGGCACTAAACGAAACGGAATAATGGTATTGTCTGCTGAAGGTCATACCAAAAAAAAATTAGACAAAAAGTTTTGCTTTGCAATGTTCTTTAATATACCTATTAAGTGCACTAAACCCTGTTCCCATGGCCAAGACCCACACATAGGCGCTAGACTACTGTTTCATTCTTCCATTATATGTGTCGTCCGTTCCTGAATTTGATTTCCTTTGTCTGCAAAAGATGAAAATTGATGATTAAAGCATTCTCATCAGCACTTGTCAATTGAATTCAGTTGCCCAGTTCTGTACAGTGACCCAAAGACTGCATATCAGACTGACTTGCATAGTGGAAGGTTCTTACGCAATGCTAGTCTAAAACAGGTCATCCTTAGTTTTATTTATAATTTTTTTCAATTATTTAGGCCTATCTAGGCCTGTTTAGGCCATCAGCAGGAGACCCCTACGGCAACGGACCACAAACGAAACCTGATCCGAAGATGCACCAATCTCAGCCGTAAAATTTTATTCAATCTAAGCTGAGCACTTCAGCATATAGGCGATGCGTACTCAGTCGACCTCATCGCCTGAAGTAGACCAGCAGTATGCAGTCAAAATGTCGCGATCCACATCTAAATTGACCACATCGTGAGACGAACGATTAAATTTCTCTTTTGAAAGTGTTATGTACACGATCACCAACCGAAACCTATTTTACGATATATAGGCCTAGTTGGAGGGTTGCCTGAGATGCAAGTGTCCCTAATAAAGTTACTCTTTATCACAGACGGAAGTCAGGTCCAGACTTATCGACCTTTCAAATTTCAGAATCAGGGCCGTAGCTAACACGAAGCAAGACGAGGCAAATGCCTCGTCTTGATTTTGGCCCAAGATTGACTTTTCTGATGAAAAATACCACCGAAAATGCTTAAAAGAGCATTTCTGAGCCTCCAGATTTCAAAATTCTCTGGGGAGGCATGCCTCCAGACCCACCTAGCGGCTCGCGCCTTCGGCGCTCAAAACTTGCCTCGTCTTGTTCCGAAGTCTGGCCACGGCCCTGAGAATAGAATGATTCTCAAGAAGTCGAGATCAGAAACACGAACCACATGACCCTGAGACCAAACTGCCAGCCATTTTCTTATCTCTTTCACGAGAACTAATTTATTTATCGTTAAATATGACAGTATAACCTACCTTAACAATTATTACTCAAAACGGTAAACAAACATGTCACCGTCAATTTCACTGCCGGATCCTTTGCGGCATTCTGAGGATTCCCCGTAAACGTCGTACTTGTTTTTGCCACTCTTATCTGCCCAGCAATTCTTGTCGTCAACACCAAATACCTTGTAGCCAGAATTCTCAGCCTTCTTTGTGCACGCTTCAAGGATGTTTTCTTTTCCTTGATAGTTTTCAACAGTGTCATCGAATGAGTCTGGTAAAGCTAGTATAGGTCCTTTGTTGATGTAACAGCCCTTTTTGTTCCATTCGCCTTTGTGAAAGACAAGGAGACGAATTAGCCGATCTACGTTACAAAATACTTTAATACATCAACAATATACTTATCCTTTTAAATGAATAAAGGAATAAAGTTTTTAAAGAAACCATGATGCTGCGTCGGTGGGAGGGTAATTTAGTATTGTCATTTGATAATGAGTTGATAACGTAAATTGGCCACCATAAACAGTTTCAAAGTTGATGTCCCGAGCGTTAACCCTTCGCCATTCGCTCTGACGAAGGGCTAACGCTCGGGACGCCAGCTTTGAAACTCTTTACGGTGGTCAATTTACGTTATTAACTCAGTTAATAATACTGAATTACTTATCCTTAAGTCTTTTGTAAGTAACCGTTTCAAACGTTTTACGATTTCGAGGCTATGACGTTATCGCATTAATAACTCACTATAAATCTATCACAGGAACAAGAAGGGAAAAAATAAATATTTTTAATGAGTATAAAATGCGCAATGAAAATATCGCACCAACACATATTAAAAATATCTCGAAAAAATAGTTCATGAATAAATGTCAAAAGCTTGATTTTGTTGCTGTAACGCCGTATACAGGAAAAATAAGTCATTCAAAATGGTAACAGAATGGATTGTCAACCATTACTTCATACTTTAAGTGGTCAATACTAAGTTCACTTGCCATTCAGTATTAAATAGAGTGATTCGCACACTCGAGGCCAGAAAGACTGCAAAGCGCACTTGTTATGACGGACTAAGAAGAGATTTTAATTTACTTCATTTCCAGCTTTGCTTTTGGTAATCACGGAAATGATTCCTCAAGGAAACCATTGTACTTTTAATTTGAAAACGTGTTCTATACCTGATATAATCTTTCACTTTTACAAGTTAGTCTCCCGAAAAAAGAAAAGATGAATTGTTATTATATGATTGGAGAGAGAAAAAAGAATTTCTCACCGCTGGCGTCTTTCTCGTAGACAAACATTGTTCCCGACTCTGACAGACCACCACTTAATGGTACCTTCCTTGCGTCTAGGCATTGGTCTGAGGTTCCATATTTGGTAAATGTGCTTTCTGCCTTTTCACCAGTCCAGCATCTCCTGTCGTCCATACCGAACAAGGTCACACCTTCATTGTCAGCCGCTGACGTGCATGCTGCATAGCGGGCGCTTATTGATGACTTGCTCCCGACTCTTTCAAGGATCTGTCCGAGGGCGCGAACGCTATTCATGAAGCAGCCAACCGGCCTCCATTCAGCTTTTGAAGGAATGAAAAAAAATTATTTTGTGACATAAAATGACCCTAAATTAATACTACTTTCCTTGCAAAGAGTTGTGGTCCAATGCAGGTTACCTTTGGCAAACTTCTTTAAGAAAGAGTCAGCGGTTTACACCCTCAGGATGAAGGTAAAAATGGTTGGGGTTAAATATAACAACAATATAGCGTGGACTGCTTAATAATGACTACTAAGTCCACAGCGGTTTCCTAGAAAAAAAAAATGATGTTGACATTTAATAGTTATTTTGGTGCGTTTATGCAGATTTACAAATAAAGCTGTGCTTAAGATCAGCATAATTTTCAAAAGCGTATTTTCTGTCATTTCGACCGCTGTGCTTACTCAAGCTTAACTTTGAGCCGGGTTGGCGGTTTCCGTCGTTATACTCATAAAAGAAGATGGAGTTATAGTGACTAGAGATGAGTTCGCTGAATTCGTTTCTTTCTCAAGCCTCATGACCCACATTGTCAGTGTGTATCTCGGCTTCCGAAACGCGCAGCTTATCTGATCGGGAGAATTGCGACTCCCTGTGTTTCAGGAGCTAGTTGTTAGAAGCAGGGTACCCGGGTACCCTGCTGGAGTTTTTCAGGTTCCCTTGACAGTTTGCATCATCTTTTAATACTCCTGACTAGAATGGCAATGAACATTATGCAAACTAGTGTGAGAAGAAAACGAGAAGTGGATAAATGTAAGTCTTGACGGGCAGAAAAATAGTTTTGCACGTGCGTTTTAAAACTTTGTATATTTTCGCACAGTTCTCTCGTAAACAATTACCTTAAATTACCAAATGCTTTGTTGTCTGTGAACGAATACTTCGACAGGAAATTTTGTGTCTCTTCATGACATTAATGGCTCCATTTCAATTTTCGCCGAAAAGGAGATTCGATGCGCCGTTTTGGACGGTAAAAAACAATATGCCACGTGGAAAACTCTTCCGCCGAATGCATGGACATTTTTGAGACGAAGTTTCCATGGCGTCGCCGTCGTGATTGCTGATGGTACTTTGTACACAGTGAATTTGCGAAAGCCACCGCGTCCCCAACATTGATAATAAAAGGACAAGGTTAAAAATCTCCTATTACTTACGTTCACACTTATTGGTGTTGCATTCTCTGGTCTCTTGTTGGTCTCCTTCACACTTTTTCCCATCACCTTCAGGCTTGGGATTGTTACAGTATCGTTTTCTGATCTGTTCTCCTCCTCCACATGTAACCGGGCACTTACTCCACTCACCAAATTCTCCCCATCCGCCGTCCACTGAGGAAAATGAGAATCGCAACATATTACGTATTAGAACTGATGGAGCGAAAATAATTGACGGTTAATACCATGAAGGGACCAGGCTAGAGAACTGAATACATCATACATATATAAGCTGTTAGGACCGTCACGATTGCTCCTTACTAATGATCTCAGGATCTTTTAGACTTATTCTGTCGGGTCTTTAGTTTAACATCGTACTATGTTGTTGATTTCCAGCTGGTGGAAAATGAATAATTGTTGATTTTAGAATGTAAAAGATGCTTGCCCTTCGTCGGGGCTAACGCTCGAAACGTTAGCTTTGAATCTCTTTGCATTATTTTATTGAATCGAATATTCTAAAAAAATTTCTGTGTAATGGCAGCATAATTTGAATTTGCCCAAATTAGGAGGGACGTGATATTTGCTGAAATTATAATTAATATCAAAACGCAGTTAACAATAATGGAAATGATAATGATGATTCCATAAACAGATGTGAAAAAAATCTACAATTAGCATTTTTTGGCCGCACGCGAATAATTGTCATAAAAATTTATCTACTCTTAGACCCTTAGCTCAGTGTTCCCCCTCTCCCCTGCCCCTAGTAGACTTGCAAAATAAGTTTAAACATTTCCATCTCTTACTTGGCCTATTTACGTTATCAACTCAGTTGATT